TGACGGTTCTGAGAAAGCAATCGCTCACGCTGCGAGATCTTTGACTATGACTGAAAGAAACTACAGTCAAATTGAAAAAGAAGCCCTCGCGATTATATTTACTGTAAAAAATGTTCCACAAGATGTTGTTTGGTCGGCAGTTCACCTTACAGACCATAAACCTTTACTGACAGTTTTTGGATCTAAAAAAGGCATCCCGGTATATACAGCAAACCGACTACAGAGATGGGCTACCACACTGCTGGGTTATGATTTCAAGATAAATTATCAACCAACAACGGATTTCGGACAGGCAGATGCACTCTCAAGATTGATTGGTCTGCATGAAAAACAAGAAGAAGAGGTGCTTGTAGCTGCTATAGATGTCGAGGCCGAGGTTCACAAAATATTGTCAGACGCAGTTTCCGGACTCCCGGTCACATTTGAAGCCATTAAAGAGGCCAGCAAGAAGGATAATGTATTAAAGATTGTTCGCCATTGCATACTCAATAAATGGCCTTCATCTAGATTACACGGAGAACTCCTACAATACTTTCGTCGACGAGAGTCATTAACAGTTGTCGATTCATGTATAATGTTTGGCCATCGTATCGTTATCCCCAGAAATCTTCGACACCAAGTCATTAAACAGTTCCACAGCGGGCATCCGGGGATAAGTAAAATGAAGTCACTAGCTCGTAGCTATGCATACTGGCCGTCAATGGACCATGAGATAGAGCAAAAATGTCGCAGCTGTTGGTCCTGTCAAGAGGCTGCAAAGAATCCAACGAGAGCTGAGCCACAACCATGGCCTAAACCGGACGGGCCTTGGCAAAGAATACATGCTGATTTCGCCGGACCGATACAAGGCAGGAATTACTTAGTTGTTGTAGATGCTTTCACAAAATGGCCGGAAGTATGACATGCCGAATACGACTTCAGAGAGTACCATAAGAAGAATGTCAGGATTGTTTGCCTGTTTTGGGGTTCCAGAGATCTTAGTGACTGACAATGGTACTCAGTTTATGTCATCTGCCTTCAAACGCTTCTGCAACGAGAATGGCATATTGCATCTACAATCTCCTCCATACCATCCTCAGTCGAATGGCCAGGCAGAAAGATTCGTGGATACAATTAAAAGAGCTCTGGTCAAAGGGGGAGGTGAGGGTGTCCCGGAACAAGTGATTAATAAGTTCTTGATGTCTTACAGAGTTACCCCTAATCCGGCAGTACCAGAAGAAAAGTCTCCGGCCGAGTGTATGTTCGGAAGGAAAATCCGGACAGTTTTTAACAGTATGTTGCCGCCCAGAAAGACAAATAAACCCACGAATGAAAATCGTAAGGTCAATCGTAGCTTCCAGGTGGGTGAAAATGTACTTGTCAGATCGTATCAAGGTAATAGGAAGTGGGAACCAGGTGTCATAGAACGTGGAATCGGAAATGTGCTGTACCTAGTCCGGAAAGATGTCGGGAAATGCATAAGACATATAAATCAAATGCAAAGAAATGATAGTACAGTGGTCCCAGAAAACCGGCTCCCATTTCAATTGCTCGTAGATTCGTCTCAGAAGAACCATCATGAGCGCAAATATCGAAAAGACAAACGACGCAGAGAGAAGGCTGTACAACCTTCGAGAGTAATGGACCGCAAGAGGAATGCGACACCCAAGCTTCAGGTGGATCCAAGAAAAAAATCTTACACAACGGACTTTAAAGGGGGGAGGTGTGACGACGGACCACCGGTGAACTCGAGGAAGCTGTAAGAGGCTCATAAGGAGCCGAAGACGTTCCATCCAATCACCTTTCGGAAGAATGTTCTAGAATTCCAACGTGTAGCTTCCCCATTGGATAATGCTAATAACCCCCTGTACGCGGATTAGAAGACTGTAATGGTGATTTCGTTCTCACTAAAAACTATAAATACCTGACAATTTTGTACTATGTTTGACACTGTTTGGAATAATATTCCTTTCGTTAGTCTTCTGTCTTCTTATTGCGACTTGGAAGGGTTTGGTGTTCTAGTGCTCAGTTATACGCGGTTGTATCAAGAAAAATCAGCTTTTTCAAGTTATAACAACATTCAAGTCAACAATGGCGGACGATATGCTATTAATCGTTTTAGTCAAGTCATTGATAGCTGACGACATGTTCAGCACCAGTGTATACAACCTATCACAACTGGAAAAGGTCACTAGATGATGCAGGTTACTTACTGGTTCACTATAGCGCCACCAACATGCTTACATTCCGATGTGGATGGTGATGTCTCTAATTGTGTCGAACTAAATCGTGAATATCTAAATAGTAATTAAACGTACTTGGCGATTGGCAATATCAGTTTGTCGAAAACACGGAATTTGGGATATTGTACGCGGCTATTCCCAGCCTGCATCTCAGCCACATCCATGTCGACTGAATTGTAAAGAAAATCTTCTTTACGCTTCATCACACCTCTAGGAAATGTAAGTAAGATTATTGTACAGACCTCTTTGACTTCTCAGTGTTAAGTGGCAGCGTGTTTTCATCTGTTGAGGTGTTTTTCCGTTGAGATTCCAGTATATGTAGGGCAACTAACAGATCTTTTGCAGACTGCAGAGAATCTATAGTGAATTATACTTTCTGTGTATGTAACCTACCTAATTCGTGAATAACTTTACATTTCATAAGTGACCAATTTTCATTCGGTTGGTCGCACTTCTGAAGGTGTATATCGACCAGCTCGTTCGAAAAGCGCAAAGTTCCTTGCCTACTATCCACTCCTTGGATGCTATCATCAGTTGTTTTTTGCTGAGGACGTCAACAATGACGTACTTCTTGTTAACGGGCTGAAAATAACATAAGACGTAAATAAATTATTTTTCGTCATTTATTCAACACTAGTGAGACAAAATGCATTTACAGCCAAGTATGCAGCAATGGGATAAGAACTAGATAATTCATACAATTTATGGCCATACATTTACAATCTATGTCCTTAACCGAGATCCAGGTGTGTTCATGGCTAACTACGGAGCACCTAAAGATTCCAATATCAGTAGATGGGAAAGGATCTTCAAAGTAATCGCGTGGGTCAGTGAAAGTTCTAAATTTTAGTCGTTCATCAGTTCTTTGCGATTTACGAACTTATGACAGCACAAGTCCACTTCAGGAGATCCTATAAGATATATATTCACGTGTGAATTTAATATACATACCACTAATATCTGGAAGCCTTTGGTTGATGTTGCTAGTGCATGGTGTTACAGTTGAAGTACTGTCATTACAACTGATTTCCGTCTTTAACTCAGTTACCTTTTAGAGTGCTTTCATTAGCAAACTCACTGAACGAAAGGAAGTCATATTTTTTCATCAAAGCAGCTCTCATTTTATTCCACCTCCTATTATAAGTGGTTCTGTGACAACCAAGGGAACGTGACAAGTTCACAGTAGCCCTACGTCTACGAAAATTCTCACTGACATAAAAAAGTCATATTATTGGCCTAAGAAGGTAATTAGTCACAATGAACCTGAAATCCTGAGAGCACGTCACTCACCTGCATCACGTAAGTTTTTTGTGTTGGCTCCCAAGCATGTCGGAACACTTCAGCTAAACAACAAACGAAGTCACTCTATATGCGTATCAACCGAATGCCTGGTTCCGTATTTTGTACATTGTTTCTATGACAATACTTTTGTTTTTTTATTAAGCGGTGCCTTCATTTGTCGAAGTTTGTGAAAACTTCAGTTCCGGATGCGGTTCATTCAATTACTGTACGTTACGTGGAATTGTCGACAAATTTCCCCCAAGTACACGACGTAAGGGGAAAAAGCGACATTTCCCCTAAATAACCGACGTAAAGGCGAAAAAGCGATATTTCCACTTTATTTACGCTTTCGTCCGCCTTATTTCCCCGTTCTTCGCCTTTATTTCCCCTTTTTGTGTTGCTTGGGAAATAGAATGACCCACCACAAAAAACAGTTCGGTCCGTTGTTTCTCTCCCCTAGTTGCCCACACTGCAGGTTCTTCCTCGTCAAATTTTAAAAAATTTCAAATTCATTCTATAGAGTATGTAGTGTAGAGTCGAGTCGCGGTTGACTATGATCCCCACCACAGGAAGACTAAGTCCTAGTTAACCGATAAGATCCCCCGTAAGCCAAATATTAGAAGGCAGTTGATGGCTGTAGTCGAAATGAATCTGTCGGCGATCTCGTGGTATTGAACGAATACCGAAAACGTGCCAAAAAAGAAGTACAAGTGTGATTACTGACCGTAACCGAATTCGTGCAAGGTCACAATCAACAGAAGAATGCATGTTTTGGTACAGTTAAACAAGCGAGTACCGTAAAACAACCCGTGATACAATTGGTTAAAACAATAAGTGTTTCCATTACATCAATCGCGTTTCCTTGATAAAAGTAGGTCACTACAAGTACATTGTTATTTAAGGTTACTCTTTATTTGTATCGATAGTTGGGACACCATTAATATAGCAAGCTTCCATTGAAGAACGCCATATAAATATTATTACACACACCATTTTCTAACGTTTTTCTCACACAGATTTGCTCACACAACTGATCATTGAAAACCACAGTCTGGATTGTTTCAACATCTATTATGCACTCTGCCTCATCTAGTTGTTTGTCATGAAGTCTCCATATTGAAAGTCTGTAATACGCATATATTTAGCCGCTATATATATACTATCACCGTTTGTCAACTGCTTCCCCTCCCGATATTTATTTGTTACGTCTTAAGATTTCCCTCCAGCAAATGCTCAGGTTTCCGAATTATCTTTAGTCCCCTTGATTATCCTTAATCCGTGTCTCCATTTCTAGATTTTTTCTTCCTTCAGTCGATTTATCAACTACATGGATTGCATACCTTCCAATTAAGCCTAGGATTACTTGAAAAGTACCCATCTATGAGCCTCTGGTCAAACATAAGCAAAAGACTAGATCTAATATCATCATTGTTACGGTGTGCGGCAGTTTTAGTGATTTGTGTTTTATGACCCATACAGCACCAAACAGGTCTATACATGCTGTCGTCCTCACAGGCAGCGATCAATGCAAACGTTCAAATTATATCAAAACGCTGTAAGTCGACATGAATATTCTTGGCCCATTTGGGTTTCTCACTGACCCCACAGTTACCGACGGCTTAGATCGGATGAATGTAATAGTTTTCTGGATTATTCTGCATCAAAAGTGCTCTAATGAACAAACCGCTTAACAGTCCAGTTGTTCTTTGTATGTCAGACATTTTTCACTGAAGACGATCGCTCCTAAGCCCTTAGAAGCAAGGAAGAAGGCACGTGACTGTAACAGTAACAAGCGAACTTCTAAGTTACTTATGAGTTATCCTCCGGCCTACTTCTTCATGACGCCCAATTTCGTATCCGCTCATGCAAAATTAATGAAATGAAACTGCACCTACTTCCTATAAAATTGGGTACAGCATTCATTACGAGAATGTGTTTTACGTCAGCTATATCTGGTCACTTTGGTGTATGTTATTGTGATTTCTTCCTACTCAATCGAGACCACGGAGTATGATTTATTTACTCACAGATAAACTTCTTTAAAACGTTCCAACGCCGTTAAGCACGCTCTTGGTTTTGGTGGAAATCCAAAACCAGTACGGTTTTCAGCATAAAAAGCTTCATCTCTACTTAGAACATGAGTGAACAATATTGTGGAACAATTAACACAATCCATCATAGGGAAACAGAAAAGGGCAAGAGCACACATCAAACGGTAACTAAAGGACAAATAAAATAAGTCAGTAAAACTATGTATCGTTTTAAAAAGTCTGAAATCGGCAAATGAATGGTGCTCAAACGAGTCAAGTTCAAACCAAGTCAAAGTGGTGGATGTCTAAGAATTTGTAGAATTATGGTCTACTTCAACATTAGTACTGCCCTAATAATAGACCTAATCCTAAAATTGTAGATTTGTTATGATTTAACTGTCTAATCTATAAGACCTTAAGTGGAAGTCACATCATTGTCTACCCTGATTAATCGCGTTGTTACAATCATCAATACATGATGGAAAACACATTTAAACTGGAGATAGAACTATATATTTAGTATGGATAAAAATAATGTTACATAAGTAAGACCACGCCCGCAAGGCCAAGCTATGCCATCCGATCAATTCTAATCAATTCAACGCACGGTTCTCACCTTCTCCATCGTTAGGTTTTTCTCCGTTTTAAATACTGAATATCTGTTTTCCCGCTGTTTCGTGTCCAGTTTTGAGGATTGTGTGGTTCAAGCCCAATGCCACTACAAATATATTTGATGGATTCGTCTATCAGTTACACTTTCGAGCCAGGACTACTACTTAGTTTCTTTGGAACACTCGGGCAAACATATTTAAAAATAAATTGCTTGTTGTTACGAATAGTTCCATACGAAATACTGCAATTTGCTGATTTGGAAAACCTGGTGCAACGTGAATTGTGACCATCCTTTGCCAACACGGACATAGGCGAAATTCTAATAAACACATTTTTAATTGCTTTTCTTGTTGCTAACATGGAAGGCAGAAAATAAAAATACATGTGTGATATGTTTCCAGATGACGAGACTCAGAATATGCATTTCTTAAAGCCACGTTGCATTTCATTTAAGACGCTGTTTTTTGATAAGATTCTCCATCTGGTCGCTCACCAACTTTTTGCAACACTTTTAACAACATAATAAACAGTGACAAGCCTTAGTCTTTTCTGTTCCTTCTCTTGAAAATTGGGAAGAGAACCACTCTTTCTATTCCTTTGATAACTACTTGAAGTGAACATTTTTTGACATAGACTGCTTAGTTGATGAAAGAGGGTCTGTTCAGCTACTCATTATCGTAGGATATTGTATCGTCGTGCTCATTGACTCGCTGGATCTCAGTCTAAATAACTTTCTTAACACTAGCTGAGTTGTTACTTTGTTAACGCTCTTATTATTGTCGACTTTAGAGCATCGGTTAAAAACCGCTAGTTCGGTGTCTGATTCCCCTGTTTGTCAAAGTGCGCCATGGAGTATTAGAAGGCTTCTGACCTGGGCAGAGTCACTCAGTGTTTGTCACGAAATACTGTTTCAGATGAAAGAGTATAATCCACAACTCTGTGTACATAATGGTTAGATCACTCCTGAGTGATTGCTCCTAGCTTTGAGATTACTTGAAGTTTTGTATATTCCCACCACTGCTATCAGGTGGAAATAAGCTACGTGTGACCTAGACTATTCTGAAAATTATGATTAGATCACCCTTCACTGTTTGGTCATCATCATGCCGAAACAATGAATAAGGTTATCCCCAACATCTGTGCATATGAATTAGAAGTAGATACAGGCCCATTTTTCTTCATATGGTAACCTAAATGAATAACGGTTGATTGGGATTACTATGGGCTAACGGTAAATAGCACTTTTATTGATTAAAATTTAAACATGATTCTAGAATTTCGGAGAGAACATCTGAATAGGGACTTCATCTCTAAAAGTTGTGGTATGTATAATTTCATAAAATATGCAGCTAGGTTAGCGCTGGTACCTACCCATTTCCGCTGATCGAATGATCTGAGATGAAAGTTTGAAGTCTTACATCTATATGATCTACATAATCTACTACATACATATGGTTCTCGTACGCATTTTTTCCCAACCTACCAAACCATCGAAATTCACCCTTGTTCTCTCTCCATTCCACTGAATCCTTTTCCACAGTTTTCATACTCCACACTATCAGTCACCTAATCAGCAACGTGATGGCTGCCAGTTTCAACAACCCTATTTTCCTGAGACTAACTCATCTCTTAGGTCCAAGATTCCTCAACCCCAAAATAGCGATCGAATTCACTGAGATTAGTGAAGTTGAGTGGCTAATCTGCTTTTACTGAATGTTTCCGAGATTTTGGTAATGTATTATAACATTTAGAAAGGAGTGTGAAAGCCAATGGGTTAATAATTATCTGACGCACAGAAATTTAGCATATAGTAGTACAGGTTTCCATAGGTATACAATGCACAGCGAAACTGTAGCCCATAACATTTCTTTACACGAGTACTTCAAAAACCAGTCTATTCAAAAGTGAAACGTTAATGACAAGAAAAAATTTCATCTGAAAACTCAGCAAACTATTATTTAACAGAGGAAGCAGTTGAAAGCAATTAGCAACAACGCTACCGTAAGATCAAAACAATGTGAAAACTGTAATCAAGAGCTTGTAGACTAGGTTTTCGAATGGGTGAAATATTGAGCTTTGAATTGTTGGTGTTTATTGGCTTGCCGCTGTGGTCACTACTTGACGTTTGGGCGGATTGTCATCCAACTTTTTCTTGGTGATTTGTATCAGTTAGGTGGGGTTTCGAGTTTTCTTTATTATAATTAAATCGTAGTAAAGTAACGTTTCTATGGTCTAAGTGTGTTTCAGTGAACGGAGTTCTCTGAGTTTGTATGATTGATGATTTTCTGAATTAGCTTCCAAAGTATGCTATTTCATCTGTGACCTTATTCAAAATGATATTCACCCATTGGAAGTTTTGTAGGAGCCTAGATAGGAAGATGTTGTTCTTTGGACCTTTGTTCGCCGTAATGTTCTCCGATTGTCGTTGTGGAGCCACTTGGGGAGATTAAGTATTATCTTTGCCCAGTGGTTAAATATCTTCTCTTAAATATAGTTATTTCAAGTTATTTGCGTGGTATTGGGACGTCGTTGTAGAACATTGGTGTCATCTCAACACTAATTCACACTGTACGGAGTAAATAGATTGTACTGAAGGAATAGTAACTAATTCCCATTTTGTCGTGGTTTCGGTCTTATGTACTTCCGCGTTTCTCCATCCTGATATCGTTTACGAGATCTGGTTATGCCTTTCACTAGATAAAACTTGTTCATTGGGTAGCCTGAGTTTGTGTTGCTCCCGCACGATTTTTTCGGAATAAAGAGTTAAAGGGATAGCACGAAACTAACACTTACGTGTATACAGTAACTAAAGCAGTAGGTGTTTGTAAATTCATACCGTTCAAGATCTTAAACATTGAAGCAACTACCTGTCTTTTGAGACGGCTATTTAGAAAATTCTGAGATTTTTCTCTACATCCAAACATCGACAGCTGTTTTAAGGTCAATGGATGAAGTACAAATTCGGTCGCATAGCATTTTGTAAAACTTTATCCACAAAACTTTGAGGGGAACCTTCACTCAGTTTTACTTACTTTTTGGGTGTTCTCGATGCAAGACAAATAACCTCAGGATAATTATATGGAATAATTTTTCCAGCACCGTATTTCGATACGTTAGCAGCAACGAAAGTATTTAATCGTAGAACAATTGAAAAACTGACACAGGTTGACCCCTAAGCTGCTGATCAACTCCAAATCTTACACGCAAAAAGTAGGTTGGAGCTGCAAACTTGATATTTTACGTTTTATGATATCAAAACGGAGGGAAATAAAAGGTCCATAAGTCAGCAAACATTTCGTCAGAGTTAGGAGTTTGGAGACGTTCCAATTTGTTGGGAATATTTTTGAGTCAAACAAATCATTTTTCTTTGATTTCTTTCTTGTACGGAGTCTTATTTGATTTATATGGCTTACCAACTAAAAAAACTAAGCTTTAGCTGGTACAGAAAAGACTTGATAACAGTCGGTATTCAGTACCTGTATCAGAGTAATTTACGTTCCTCCACTTATCAATAAGACCCATTGTGGTAGTTTAAAACTCATTTTAAATCAAAGCCATTCGAAGAACACATGTTTTGCTCTAATCACACAGACGTTTTAGTGGAAGTAGTACGCGACAATCTTGTTTCAGTGAATATAACCCCTCTTTATTTTTTTGTGTGATTGTATCAAGAGAAGGAACATAGACCATTTTAGTAAATTGTATTTACTTCAACAGTTATGAGATATGCACGAGTTATGAGCTTAGTCTGTTGTTTCTCAGTGGAACTGAATTTTAGAGTTTGCACCATAGGCAGAATATCATTATTCACTGGCTTGTTTGGTCTGACGAATGGCACTTAAAAATAAGAAGTACTAGCATTTACCAAGCATAGAATAATGAATGTTGTTATTAGACGCTCTATTGTAACTCGCATATCTCTCCAACTTTAGGTTTTATGTGGTCTGGTTCCAAGTTAATTAAAAATAAAAGCCAAAACTGAAGTACATGAAGCAGGGTTAGAACTAAAAACTTATTAAAGTCGGACACCTTAAGCCGCCGTTCCATATAGATCATATTAATGCTTTTAAAGGAGCATTTGATAATATACAGCTAAATGGTGGTTTCCGTATTTTGTTTTTCAGCGTTTTTTTTGTTTAGTTTGCTTTATCCAGTTATCGTTTCCGTGGGGAATAAAACCTTATCGCTTCATTTTTACGGTAATTTATTTCCTACTCAGATGAGTGTAGTTATAGAGACAGAATAAGTGACAATTCATGTCGCTGCATATATGTGCTTGATCCCACGTTGTAGCTGACTGACTGACATGTCGCTGACACATACATGTACTGTTTCATATTTTGAGATTATTGTACAGCCCTTGTTCATTTACCAGTTTAAGTCATATCCACATATTTACTGATCCCACATTGTTTGTGACTAACTTCCAAATGCTATACGCCTTTTACCACATTTCTTACCCATTCTTATTTTTTAATATTACAAGTCTTCCGACCCTTGTTTTCCCTCTTGGTAATACTCTCAAGTCAAGTAGCATGAATAATTGCTTTACTGCACCAGCTCTTTTGCTGTACTATTTAAAATATCGTTGATTCAACGCTTTTTGCACTAGTGGTCTACAGTTGGTCACGTAACTTTTTTATTTCAGATGCCGGCTCCAAAGCGGTTGCGAGAGTTGGTGAGAGACATTAGATCTGCTCGAACTGCTGCTGAAGAACGGGCAATTGTAAACAGGGAGTGTGCTTTAATTAGAGATAGTTTTCGGGAAGAAAATAACACTTACAGATGTCGTAATGTGGCCAAATTGTTATACATTCACATGTTGGGTTACCCAGCACATTTCGGTCAGGTAAATTTTTCAACTTATTCATTTGATGCTTTTCTGGTTATCTCTTAAAATTTACATTTAATATTTTAGTTACTTTATTTTATTAGCTACATTTGACGGGTTTTATTCATCTACATTTACCCAAGTAAGTCTGCGAGCACTATCCATTTATCACTCACAGTTGGTAATAACTCACTGAACATCTAGTTTATTTTATTTATGGAGAACCAATGAACGGATGGAGTAACTATAATTCTAAATGTGAAGACCTCGACATCTAAGGGAAAGCACGGAATATAATGGACAAATCAGAATCAATTAGACGATTTTGACTTCGCAGATGACCTAGCTATTCTGTCCCATACACACGAACAAATGCAAATGAAGACAACTAGTGTAGCAGCAGCCTCTGCATCAGTAGGCCTCAAGCCACACAAAGGAAAAACCATGATCCTCAAATACAACACGAAGAACACCAACTTAATCACACTTGATGGATAAACTCGGGGAGATGTGGAATCCTTCATGTACCTGGGAAGCGTAGTCGAAGAACAAGGAGGGTCTGATGCAGGATGGCAAGGATTGGCAAAGCAAAGGCCGTATTCCCACAATTGAAGAACATATGGAACGCAAAACAACTGTCAATAAATATCAAAGTCACAATCTTCAGTACGAACATCAAGACAGTCCTACTGTGAGAAGCTGAAAAGTGGAGAACTATAACAACTATCATCAAAGAGGTACTAGTATTTATAAACACTTCGGAAGATACTCAATGTTCATTGGCTGGAAACCATCAGCAACTGCCTACTGTGGGAGAGAATAGATCAGCTTCCAGCTGAGGAGGGAATAAGAAAAAGACGTTGGAAGTGGATAGAACACACATTACGGAAATCACCAAATTGCATCACGCGGTAGTCCCCAACTTGGAATCCTGAAGAGAAACAGAAAGGAGGAAGACCAAAGAACACAGTGTCCAGATTTGGAAGCAGATATGAAGAGAATGAATATCAACTGGAAGGGATTACCGAGGACAGAGTTGGATGGAGAGTGCTGGTGGGCGATCACACTTGATGGATAAACTCGAAAAGAGGTGGAAACTTTCACTTATAGTCCTACTGTATGAAGCTGAAGCTTGACGAACTACTACAACCATCAACAAGAAGGTACAAATATTTATAAATGGTTGTCTACGCAAGATACTCAACATCCATTGGTCGGATACTATCTGCAACATCATTCTGTGTGAGAGGACAAACTAACTTCCAGCTGAGGGGGAAATTAGGAAGAGACTTGGAAGTGGATAGGACGTAGATTATGGAAATCACCCAACTGTATCACGTGGCAAGCGCCAACTTGGAATACTGAAGGGAAGCGGAAAAGAGGCAGGCCAAAGAACACGTTACGTCGGGAAATAGAAGCAAATATGGAAAGGATGAATAACAACTGGAAAGAGCTGGAAAGGATTATACAGGACAGGGTTGGGTGGAGAATGCTGTTGGGCTGCCTATGCTTTTACACGAGGAGTAACAGGCGTAGGTAAGCATTAGCACTTAGTTGACTAGTGCTTGTGCTTTGAAATCTTGAAAATAGATATGTAAAGTCAAAAGTTTAATGCAGAATAAGTGATATATACCATGTGGTGTTAGTATCATATCCGACACATTCGTCTTTTAGCCAGGTTGTATGTTAAAACTCCGTTCCGACCTACTTCGGTTCGGGCAGCTGACTACTATCATCGGTCCTCACGCAAAAGCTTATTCAGTTAAGTACATGAATCTGCATATAGACATTGAGTTATATTAAATGATTTTTATGAACCGTATTGTGTTTCTGTTATTTATAACCTAAGTTTAATAGTTGATTTCGCATATATATATATATATATATATATATATATATATATATATATGATGTGTTTGGTAGTTTATATACGCTTTGAATGTGTTAACAAATTTTGTGCTCTGACTACACTAGTCAGCCTGAATTTTCACCAGTCTTATTCTGCAAGTAATTCTCACTCAGTATCCTCAATTGTAGACATTTGGCATGGATGATAAACGTGGTTTCTTATGTAACTTTTTCTGTTCAAATCCTCCATCTGTTTTTTGTCAATTGATTGGTATTGTAGCTTTGATATATTATTGTAGTTAAGACCAGTTCATGAATGCATGCGTGGTTATCGAATGGCTTATCTTAACTCTCTTGCTATTGCATAGAGATTTAAAATGACTGATTTACATTTGTTACCATTTTGTTTATAGCTCGAATGCTTAAAACTGGTTGCTTCTCCACGTTTCACCGATAAAAGAGTTGGTTATTTGGGCGCAATGCTTCTACTTGATGAACGAACTGATGTACACCTTCTAGTTACAAATTCCTTAAAAAAGTGAGTTTTTCTAATACTTTTCTATAATAATTAAGCCAAAAATTGGTTTTAAAAGTGAATAGTAGTATGTCAAACCTTATCTTGTAATGACTGAATTCCCATTGTTTTATCATAAAATAATTTCTTTACTTAGAATGTCGTTATCGTTGAAGCTAACGAGCCATGATCCAACGGTTACTTTAAATGTCTTATATTTGGATTAAATACATCTAAAGAAGTTAATTACAAATTGTTAAAATTTAACTTGTTTTCTAAACCAACTATACGCTGTCAATATTTACTGCATTTTTGAATTCCACATCAACTCACTGATTCCGTAAGGTGTATCGTAGTTCTTTACAGTATCCGTTTTTATGGATAAGGAGACCGTCAGATTTTCCATAACATTCCGTTTAGTGTGTCAATGTTAAGAGTTCAGGAAAAGTTCAAAATGCAAGAAACGCAATATGATGCGAAAATCTTTTTAAAATGTTAATACTCCTAGAGATCAACAATACTAAAAACAACCTTCATTGTTGATGGTTTCAGTGTGATGAGATACATAGCTAAAAATTCATTGGGTCTTAACTACGGCCATCAGTCAGTCAGCCACAACGTAGGCCATCAACTTCTGGATCAAATGGAAAGGAGAAGTATTTTCTGGGATCAAAATTACCAATATTAGTTGACAACTAGCCCCACGATATCTGTCATGTATTGGACTTTTACCTTTTCATACTAATCTTAAACACGTTACTTTTCGATCATTGCTTTTCTTTCCAGAATATTCTTTTTTTGTTGAGTTATTGGAAACTAATAAAAGTAGAAAAGTGTATTGTATTCTTTTACTACTGCTTCAGTATATTGTTAGTGCCCATTATTTTGTTTGGGTCAATTGAGGCAGTTCATCAGATTTCAGCTTCATTCATTCACCTTCATCGGTGAATTTGAACAAAACAGGAGCAATAAATTTATCCGTAGTTATTTTAAAACTATTGTTTTCAAGTAAAAAATTTGCCACTATTTTGTTTTACGTTAGTGGGGTGCAAGTGACTTGTCCGCGGTGAATTTTAATATTTCTTTATGCCTGCGTAAAACAATGTACGACGTAAAATGAATATTTCAGTTTTCTCACTGCAAAAATCATTTTAATAAAAAACATTAGAGAATATCTGTGTGACTTTGCATTATAGAGTTCACTTTCCAAATTCAGTAAAGGATAACAAAGTAAAAATGTTAAATAACCCTTCTTGAAACATTTCTTTTTAAAAAGACCGATTACTGTAATTTCTATAAATGTAAATAGCGGTGAACATACGTTATTTCAATTTCTCTCCATCGTCTTTGAAGCAATCGGTCTAGTTCTTCGAAGAACAGTTCAGTTAATTTGACGGTTGACTATCGACCGGGCTGTCCTATTATCCATAGCCGATGAAAAGTAATCCACCTACAGACAACAAGTTTAGCAAGCACCTCCAACGTTTGAAACACCGTAAACACCAGACTCAGACGACTTACTATTAACTCCGTTTAAGGATGGTGGCTAACATCTGATCACTAAACTGACTGAGTTCGCAAGGGTTTAGAAAACAGTGCTCTAACATCCCAAAATGAAACAAACGTTACTCCTGTCTTCTATGGGACAATTGTTCAGGGATAAGTTTACTTTCAATGGCGTCCAAACTAATGTTCAAAACCCAATGGAAGTCTGAGTCGTGCGCAGCAGGCTGGCTTTCGTTCTGGTTGTGGATGTTATTAATCATATTTTTACACTAACAAATGTTAGGTCGTCGTCACACTTACTACAAGCCAACAATCCTTGCGTTTCTCAATATCAGGGTCGGCTACGATTCGTTGGACAGGACTGTACACTGGGATTTTCTGTTGAGGAAAGGTGTATCCGATACGCTTATTACCAGCTTGAAAGCTCTGTATGCAAACAGCTCAGGCAAAATGAGGACATATCACGTATCTCCATTATTCATATTCAGTAATCGGGTTATACAAGATGGCCCATTCTAGTAAATCTTCAACTCTGTCGACGATGACATTCTGGAACTAGCTCTAAACGAAGTACTTGATGGTAGTAATGATGTTGGTGCGGATGTGCCGCTTAAATGTGAACTTTTCGATCTTCAGTGTGCAGATGACATCGTCTTACCGTAGGATGATATAAAAACTATCCAGGTCCTTTCTCCTCGATCGGTAATCCGTGTCCGTAAGTACGGGAGCTACTCTACATCTAAATGCTGAGTACTTTTACTATCTGTGCTGTCACTCGCATTTCTTTGCGAACCGTAATAACTAGTCTAAAGGTTCGTGTATATGGATAGCTGTGCGTGTGTTGATGATGGCGTGATCGATGAGATCAACCTACTTATAATGAAATTCAGAGTGGATTATGCCAAGCTGATTCATCTTTGGCGCCTTCATGATGTTAGTGTGACTGAAATATCCAGTCTACAACGCGTCGAGGAGAGCGATCCTGCCCCGTGATTGTGAAACCTGACCTTTCCTAGCTGAAAATGTCCGGTGACTCTCTGTCTTCGAAGGAGTGGTGACATTCGATGGCAACACCGTGTTAGCAATGCTGAGGTTCGACAATGTGTATCCGGGATCAGTGATGACAATTTAGTGTCACCATCTTGAAACACTGACCTCGGTGGTTTGGACATGTGTTGCGAAGATCATCTGAGCGATTTTCATGTTGTGCTTTATTTTCGGACTCTGGGCGAGGTACAACATTGGGAGAAGTGGTCATTTCACAACACAATGTCATAGTATGAATGAAAACCGTACGAGACTGGGACATTTCAGTTCCTCACTGCTTCCTGGTTAGGATTCTAAGGATTATACAACTTAGTGGCTTGAGACATTACCAAATGTGAGTGGAAACAGAAGCCAATGGAGATCCTGCAGTAGCTTTCTTTTACATTCTTCATATAGAAAATTGAGAGGACGTGGCTTAACTGAGAGATGTGTTGCTGGTTGTATTTTTAACTGAACTATATATTCTATCATATACTATTCTCGGCCACTCATTATTGTTCCCGACCGTTGTTGCGACCCCCTACACCAAATCAACGATGGACTCAAATAGACCATATTGACATCAGTCATCGTTCGAGAGGGTCGGTAGGAGATTGTCGCTCATTCTGGTGTACCTGCTTGGACTCCGACCATGCCTTAATACGAGTACGCATCTGTTTGCGTCCAATTTTAGCGATTAGGTTGACTAATATTTTAGCTGGAATCTGGGAGTTAGACGTTATCCCATCTGACTGGTCACAATCACTGATCGTCCTAATATATAAGAGAGGGTTAAAATCATCCTGTGACAACCATAGAGGGATTAGTTTAACTAATATAGTATCTAAAATACTAGCCTCGATAATTATCAGACGCTTAACTAAGACTCGTGAACTGCAAACACAAGAGAATCAAGCTGGCTTCAGACCTGGTTGTGGCTGCATCGACCACATATTCACCATTCGTCAGGTTCTAGAACATAGGCATACCTACCGGCGTCCGACAATGGTGGTCTTTCTTGACCTAAAAGCAGCATTTGACTCTGTAGACCGCGAGATTCTGTGGCAGTGTCTGTCATTGAAAGGCATACCTCAGAAGTACATAAACCTTGTGAAGACTCTTTACTCGAACACTACCAGTCGAGTCAGAGCTTGTGGCGAACTGTCATCTGCTTTCGCAACCTCAAGTGGTGTCCGTCAAGGCTGTCCACTTTCTTCATTTTTGTTTAACTTCATCATAGACCTATTGATGGAAATAACATTCTCGTCTACTGAATTCTCGGGTATTGATCTCCTTCCAGGAGGTCCGCTTATCGACTTACCATACGCAGATGACACAGTCCTGTTTGGTGAAGATGCTGATGAAATGCAGAGTCTTCTGGTAGTACTAAGCAACAATGCCAGAATGTTTGGAATGCGCTTCTCTCCCTCTAAATGCAAGTTGTTGCTTCAGCACTGGTCTGCGTCAACATCTGAACTAAGGATAGGGAGTGAAGTGGTCGAACGCGTCGACAACTTCACTTATCTTGGAAGTCTGATCAACCCTAATGGGCTGGTATCAGACGAAATCTCAGCACGGATTCGAAAAGCTCGTTTGGCTTTTGCCAACTTACGTCACCTATGGCGAACGCGAGATATCCGTCTATCAATAAAAAAACGAGTATACTGCGCGGCAGTCCGTTCTGTTTTAATTTATGACAGCGAAACATGGCCATTAAGAGTAGAAGACACTCGTAAGCTACTAGTATTTGACCACAGATACCTTAGAAATATTTCTGGAATCTGGTGGGATCACCGGGTAAGTAAAAGTGAGGTTAGACTCAGGGTATTAGGGATGATGAGGTTATGAATCTTCATCGACTGAGATGGCTGGTCCACGTGTTACGTATGCCTGAACACCGACTACCACGACGTGCAATGCTAACCGGTGTTGGAGATGGTTGGAAGAAAGTTAGGGGCGGCCAAACCAAAACGTGGCATCAATGCTTGAAGTCACTAACTTTTAGTCTGAGCCATGTTGGTAGATGCAGACTACTTGGTTGGGGTCCGCGTGACTATCATAACCAATGGTTGGAGACTCTTGGTGACATGTCTCAGAATCGATCACAATGTCGTCGGTGTATACACTCTTTGTCTTCCCTTCAACCGTGAGTTTAAAATCGTCTCATATCCTTCTACGAACTAATTCTTTCTTCCTGTAATATATCCTTATTGCAATCTTTCTTTTATATATTACCACCTCTGAATTAACTACTTTTATGAATCCGGTGTCCATCTCGTGTTAATGAGGTATGGCAACTTGGACCGATGCATATATGTGCCTGATCCTACGTTGTAGCTGACTGACCGACTCATTATTATTATTATTATTATTATTATTATTATCCCTAATCATTTGTTTATTTTTGATTGTACTTCCTCTTCCTCACCTAACTCTTGACAATTCCATTCCACTATTGTTTAGCGCATATTTTGTTGCCCAGCTGTACCGATATTTGTGTTCAAATAAGTAAATCAAACTAGTTTTATTTTGCCTTCTGCACTCTAACTGTCATTGAGGAAAGCTTATTGTTTCCTGTCATTGTTTAATGGCTTTTCGTAATTTTTGTGATGCATACTCATAATTTTTTTACATTATTAGTGATTTAAATCATCCTACTCCATATGTTGTTAGTTTGGCTCTATGCACTTTGGGAAGTATATGCTCTGCTGAAATGAGCAGAGATCTAGCCGGTGAAGTTGAGCGACTAATACGATCATCAAATGCTTACATAAAAAAGAAGGCAAGTTTATATTCATATTTGGGATTATAAGCATTGATAGTATTTACTGTTGTTCAATTTTTATATTTCAGTAGTCATGAACTAAAGTTCGCGAAAACGTATTTTTAAATATGGTATCGCATTTATTATTTATCGCTAGTTCTATTTGAAGGTGAATGATATTTATGGATGTTCTTACAATATTCTGCTATTTGTGTTGGGAAAACATTACGATTTAAGTTTTCCCAAGGTTATTTCCGTAAGCATTATCATCCACTTAACTGGGTTGAGAACTCACTGAACATCGGCTAAGTCAAACAGTCGGCCAGATGTGAACAACGCTGAACTTGATAAAATTGTTTAACAACACAAGTTGCTAGACTTCACACACACGAGGAAAAGTCAACAACAGGGAAACAATAGAATGGAACCGACAATTCGACTGAGTTTTTTATGAGTTATAGGTTGCATGTGCTTAATTAAGGAAGTTTAAGTTTCTTAACTTGAATGACTACTAATAATCACGAAGAATGAATGTAATTCATCAGTAAGTAACTTTTTTCCAGTTCCACCTTAAAGACAATGTGGTTTACTTAATACTTAGATATCTTCGTATGATTAAATGACTGGACTCGAACTGACTTGCCAATGTCAAATAGTTTCAATCATGAGTTCTTAATGAAAGCATTTTATCCTCACTAGAGTGATGATCAGAAAGACAATTACGAGTACACAAATTTGTTTCAAGTAATTATTCGACGTAGCAACATGTATAAACGTGACTAATAGCACTGTAGTGACTAATTAGTGTATGAATTCTTCAATAAGAGACTAATAAACTGGTTCGTTGTTTATTGTCTTGTACTTTAGAAAATTGGTTATTGGCTAACTGAAATAAAGTGATCTTTTCTGAATGCTGTAAATTCAACCACATCTCGTAGTGCACTTCTCAATGATAGTATTTTAATCTGACTGTTAGACAGTGGTACGACTAACCGACTCTTAGTGGTCTTGAAAAGATTGATCACGTTTTTAAGTATATAAGTGATACTTTTAGCTGTTGCTAGGACCTACCGAAAGTCACATGAGTATTCAATATATTTACGGCAAAAATATGTAGTTATTTTTTCAATCTTAAAAACATATATTGCTCTGAGTATTTTGATTTTTTCCGAACTAGAATATATATATCAGTAAAAGTAGTGGCTTCTCTATTACTGTTGTCATAGTTATTGTTACTACCATTATTGTGTCCAATAGTAAGAGAACGTAAGTTTTATATGTTGTATTCATAGCACTATCACATTGGTAAACTACCGTTTACTGCGATTCAGAATAATTGTACTAAAAATCTGTAAGTAGGACTAGATTACTGTCGTGGACTGATATTCGAGATATATTTTCTCTTATCTTGTTGGACAAAAATGGCAAGACTATAATTTATGAACGGACCAGTGAAAAAAAGCACGTCTTAGATTTTGGTGCGAGATTCATTTATCAAAAGGGTTAACTTGCATTTTGACATTATAACTGATGTTAGTTCGTGATGACAACTATAAACTCCTAACCTTAACTTCTAACTCCAAATTCTAATTCGTCATATTAATTTATAACCCTCTTTGGACACAGGTTTACAAGTGAATTTTTATCAAGGTCACTTTAGCGTCGCTCATATGTTGTCCATAAATTATCTCGAACTAATCCACTTAATGAATTTGATTGTAACTATGAGAAAAATTGAGGATCTATAATCTCATTGAACTCAGATAATTTGAACATAGTTTTCTCGAGCTGACATCAAGAGCCTAGTTAATGGATCTAGACGCTAATTGATTTTCCTCTCGAAGCTATTGTTTCGGGATCTAGTGTTTTGTATGGTCGGGAGTATATCTATTAGGGTCTCACCTAGTTGGTTGCCCTATAGATTTTGTCTTCCAGTTAAATGAAAGTTTAGTGTCGATTACGTGTTTTATTTACAGATTTTTTTAAATAGGCTGTAGTGTGCATAATTAAAAATATATTCCACATACATAATGTTCATATTATTTGTCGGCCGACTTGAAGTTGCATATATTAGCCTGGTCCTACGTTGCAGCTGACTGACTGAAGGTTGTTGTTAATACAATGAGGGGATTATGGGTGGCAATTTTATAATTTATCCTTTTTTCATAGAATGCTTACAATTTTATTTCAACAGGCGGCATTATGTGCCTTTCAAATAATCCGAAAGGTACCTGATCTCATGGAAATGTTTATACCATGTACACGTTCTCTTCTTTCCGAAAAAAATCATGGAGTCTTATTGGCTACCATTTGTTTAATTCAAGAAATGTGTGAACGTAGTCCGGATACTTTGAATTACTTTCGCAAGGTGTGTTCATTTTAATTTCCAGATATTTATTTTTGGTGCTTCTCATAAGTAATCAACGAATTATTTTTTTGATTGTATCACTTATTTGAACTGTATGTCGACATTAAGTATGCTAAACTCTATTTGAATGTATTTATTTACTTAGGTACTGTCAGATTCACTGTGATAGCGCACTCGAGGTCTAGCTCTTATCGGGTTACTGCCGGTGCAAACTCTGCGTGAAGGAGGAGGGTTGAACATAGGGTCAGCAAACTCATCCAATGGAAAACATCCTTGCTAAAAAACTAACCAGAATTAACAAACAAAACCAATTAAACTCTACCCTGACACTTCAAAAGTCTACTTTCAGGAGAATTATGTAGTTTCATACACAAAGCCAACATTCCTTGGAAGTCACGAGAGTGATACCCATTCTAACAACTAAAGCAACAATTAATATAGATACATGGAATGACTGGACAATGTGGGAGACCAAGAGGACCAGTCAAATGGCAACGGAAATGAGGGGATACAACTTGGCGGTTCTTGGAATAAGTAAAACCCATTGAACCCAAGCTGGACAGAAAAGGATAAATTCGAGAGAGATGCTGTTTTACTCAAGTCACAAAGAAGAAAGTGCTCCACAAACTTAGTGATTTGCTCTGATGCTGTCCAAAAAAGCACTAAATGTACTTATAGGATGGGAATCTCATGGATCCAGAATCATCAAAACATCAATCGAAACAAAGAAGAAAGGAATCACAATGAATGTTATCCAATATTATTCACCTACCAATCCTAACAATGAAGACGACAAAGATCAGTTTTACAAGAGGCTGCAACCGATCATAGCGAGGTGCTCAAGAAAAGACCTGACTATCCTTATAGGAGACCTAAACCTCAAAGTCGGAACGGACAACGCCGGGTATGAAGGTATTGTGGGACGAAATAGATTGGGAGAAAGTAACGAGATTGGTGACAGATTCGCAAACTTATATGTATTCAACAAAATCGTTATAGACGGCACAATATTCCTTCACAAACGCATACACAAAGCTACATGGGTCCCACAGGATCACTCTACAGAAAAACAGACCAATCAGAAGGTCAGCGAAAGATGCGAAAATCAGGAGAGGAGCTGACATGACTTCAGATCACCACCAACTGGTGGTTGCCAAGATGAAACTGAAGCTAAAGAAGTAATGAACAACTGGGGAAACAACATTACAAAGGTTCGAAACAGCCTTCCTTCCAGATACTGACAAACCCAACGAATTCAAGATATCTCTCAACAACAGGTTCCAAGCCTTACAAGATCTACTGGGAGAAGAGGAAACTACTATGGAAAACAATTGGAAAGGGATCAGAGAAGTACTAACTTCAACGTGTCGGGAGGTTCTGGGTCTCAAGAAGCATCATCACAAGGAATAGATCTCTGTGGAAATCCTGAACAAGACTCAAGAAAGGAAAAATAAGAAGATAGCACTTAACAACAGCCGAACAAGAACAGAGAAAATCAAGACACAAACTGAATACACTACAGCAAACAAACAAGTAAAGACGAGCGTTAGAGCTGAAAAGCAGAAATACGTGGAAGACCTAGCAACAACTGTGAGAAAAGCTGATAAAGAAGGAAATATAAAACAACTATATGACACGACGATAAGGCTGACAGGGAAATATAGTAAACCAGAGAAGTCGGTCAAGGCCAAAGAAGGCAGGCCCGTCGCTGAAACTCAAGGAGAGAGGAACAGGTGGGTAGAGCACTTTTAAGAACTCTTGAATAGACCTGCCCCGCTGAACCAATCGGACACCGGAGCTGTACACATAGACCTATTTATAGATGTCACTCCACCACCTATCGAAGAAATCAGGATGTCCATCAGACAAATGAGGAGTGGGAAAGCAGTAGGACCTGACAACATACCAGCCAAAGCACTGAAATCAGACATACAAGTGACTGCAAACATGCTCCACGTTCTATTCAGGAGGATTTGGGAGGAAGAACAAGTGCCACTGACAAACTGGAAAGAAGGACACCTAATCAAGATATCAAATAAAGTAAATCTGAGCAAGTGTGAGAACTACAGGGGTAATTGACTACTCTGAGTTCCAGGAAAAGTTTTCAACAAAGTGTTGCTGAACCGGATGAACGATTCAGTAGACGTGCAACTTCGAGATCAACAGACCGGATTCCGTAAGGATCGGTCGTGCACAGACCAAATAGCTACACTACGGATCATTGTTGAGCAATCAATTGAATGGAACTTGTCACTATACATAAACTTCCCTGACTATGAGAAAGCGTTTGACAGGAAAATCTTATGGAACCCTCTTCGATACCATAGTGTATCTGAGAAAATCGTCAACATCATCGGGAATTCATACAACAGACTACAGTGCAAAGTCGTGCATGTAGGACAGCTAGCTGACAGATGCATTCCAAATGAGAACCAGAGTCAGACAAGGCTGCTTACACTCCACCTTTCCCTTTCTTCTGGTGGTTGACTGGATTATGAAGACCTCGACATCTGAACAAAGCATCAGGCCTCGAGAATTGGAAACAGGTATGAAAAGGATGAATTACGATTGGGAAATATGATCCAGAAGAGAGTTTAATAGAGAATATTTGTCGTCGGTCTATGCTTCCACACGTGTTGTCGGAAGTAAGTATATATATAATCAAATGTTCTACAGTAAACGATAATTTGCTAGGGGTAAAACTCACATTCAACATGATGCACTCAACAATAGTAGTCATTACGCTTCGCTAACATGCACAATAATAGCTGGTTCAATTTGCGCGAATTGATAAAAACTGTGACAAACAATAGAACACTTTTTAAGCAAAGATAGATAGTGGCTAGCGGCGGAACCCTCGTTTCGTCCTGTTTGGGACTCGTCAGCCGGATGTGTCTGAATCACAGATTCGATGTTCGTTCCGGGACTCGAAACCAGTACCGTTCGCTTCAGACGCCATCTCGTCATCCACTTAACTACCGAGTCCTGATAGCCACCTGCTTATGAAATGGGGTGAAGTTTCAATTCACTTGGTATTATTTTTTTGAATCTTCCCATTGATGTTTAGGACTGCAATAGATCAGTCTCATGTTGGCATATGTGCATCCTGTGCGGATTGCTTCGATATAGCCTTAAGTCTCAAGCTTTTTTAAGCAAAGATGTATAGTGGCTAGCAGTTGAATCTAGGACGCGCGTTTCGTCGTACTTGGGACTCGTCAGCTGGATGTACCTGCATTCCAGAGTTGATGTTTACTCCGGGACTCGAACCAAAATAGGATTCCACTGCTAGCCATTATCCATCGTTGCTTAAAAAGCTTTTGACTTAAAGGTATATCGAGGCAATCCGCACAGGATGCACATATGCCATCATGAGACTTATCAATTGCAGTCCTAAATAACAATGGGAAGATACAAGTAAAACCACACCAAGTGAATATAATAGAACACTTTGTTTTCGGATCATTGATATTCATAATCATTACAAACTTTTATCATAGGAAACTAATTACTAATAAGTAATACAGTTTTAACACATGAATTTCGCAGATATCTCTGTAGATTGTACATTTGTAGCCTCATTTTATAAAACATTGTTTCTAGAATGGGAGTGTTCAACCTCTACTAGGTTCTAGAAGTATATGATTGAAGACTTTTTGTTGTTTACAATTACAATTTAAGTGTCGCGAACCTTTTGTATATGTTTTACTCTGACTTGATAATTCTATCAAATAAACTAAATATTAAGGATTCCCATTGTGAAAATTAGAACAACACATATAAGCGAACAATATTGTTTTCAATTAGATCGTCATCAGGCTTTACTCTAATATACATGAATATTTATACGAAAATTTTTTAAACCAATCAAGGCAATATGGGTCAATAATCACAATGAAATAGAATAAGTCTCTACACATAATAAGTAAAAATACAAATTGATAGTATTTAAAGCAATTAGTCCCTTTCATAAATTTCGATAGAACAATGAGAAGACGGAGTTGATCTGAAAAATATGATGTATTAGCGCTATACATTTCGAACAATCTGGTCACACATATACTTGTCAGGGCATTTTTACAAATAAAAGTTTGACCTTTATTAATTTTCATATAAAAATGCCCTGACAAGTATATGTGTGACCAGATTGTTCGAAATGTATAGCGCTAATACATCACACTTTTCAGATCAACTCCGTCTTCTCATTGTTCTATCGAAATTGATAGTAGGAAGACAGATGTACTGACAGTGGTGAGAATAATAAAATACGATAACAAAAGTCTTATCAATAGTTAAACGTTGGACATAGAAGGTCAAACACGGGTAAATAGACGATAGATAACTGGAAATGATTTCGATTCATCTGCAGCATGACCGCTATCAATGAGATGTGTCAAGATAGAACTGCGAATAGACTTTATCTGGCCCTTTATATACCAAGTTGGTAGATGTTCACTCATTCGTTGGCTAAGTTGCCTGGTAGTACGCCCGATATAGCTATCTGCACAGGAGCAGCTGAATTTGTAAATGCACATTGAAGAGGCCAACTCAGGTAACTTATCCTTCATTTGAGTAGACATCGCTGGTGGACAAGAGAAGGTCAATGCAAGATTGGCTGCGTAGAATGTCCTGGTGATTACTTTAGTTAACCTGTATTTCAGAGTATCACTAGCCACATCCCCGTTGAATTGTACTTCCATGTATAAAGGTTTCTTACGAACAGTCGAAATCTTCGACTTCTTTATTATGTCATACATGTACTTCTTAATGAAAGCTCTGGGGTAGCTGATCTCGGTCAGTGAGTTGTTGATAAATTCAAGCTCCTGACTTAGAGTATCTGCTGTACAGATCTTTTTTGCTCTGCTAGTATCGTGTTTTATTATTCTTACCACTGTCAGTACATCTGTCTTCCTACTATCAATTTGTATTTTTACCTATTATGTGTAGAGACTTATTCTATTTCATTGTGATTATTGACCCATATTGCCTTGATTGGTTTACATTTTCGTATAAATATTCATGTATATTAGAGTAAAACCTGATGACGATCTAATTGAAAACAATTGTTCGCTTATATGTGTTGTTCTAAATTAAATATGTAAATGTAGATAAAACCTCTATCCATAAATATAAAAAATGTGACCAAGTCTAATTTTGTTGTTTTAGTGTTTTGGTCGCTCACTATAATTATATTGTTTCACTTGGATTCTAGCAATTTATATTCAAGTCCATATTGCTTTTGTTTCATTAGTGTAATACATATTCATTTAATTCTCTTTATCCTTTAGCAATTAGTTCCAACACTAGTACGTACTTTGAAGAATCTCATTATGACGGGTTATTCCCCTGATCACGACGTTAATAAAATAAGTGACCCATTTCTGCAGGTTTGTCGTCATTGTAACAAACAAATTTTTGACTATTATATCTGGTATCAAATTATAATTTTTGAGTTTCAGTTTTTTTAGATTAAAATCCTGTTAAGGTTACTTGTTTGATGATCCATTGCACTATATTCTTTATTGAGATATAAAGTTTTTTTGAAATTTACCATTATTTAAAACCACCCGAATTTGCATAATTCGTTGTGCTTAACACTTTCATTTTAGTAATGTAAGGTTGACATATGAAAATTCGTAGCTATTTATGCCTTTCCTTATGGTTGCTTTGTTGGATTAACCGTCATTCACATCTAGATATGTGTGCGTAAGGAAGATTATTTGCTTATCTTCGGATATTTATTTATAGTTAAACTATTAGATATCTTTAAATTTAATAAGAATCTAGTATTCAGCTACTTTGTTGTTGTTTACTGTGAACTGATTAGTTAAGGAGTGAAATAACACAATAGTTGTGTTTTGCGATATTGTTATCTATTTCGTATTCTGTGTACCATTTGTCTGATTTTTAAGAAAAATGGTTAACATTCTGAAATACTTTAAATGAAATCTCATTATTTTAAAAACCCTTATATTGCAATAATCTATTTTGTGCTATACTGGTGAGCGATTTATCGTCTTTTAGTACTTTTTGATGTCTTTATTCACTTTTTCCTTTGTAGGTGAAAATACTGAGGCTCATGCGTGTTCTAGGTCATGGTGATAAAGCTGCCAGTGAAGCAATGAATGATATTCTAGCTCAAGTAATTTTAGAATATAAATCTTTACAGTACCCAGCATTGTTGTTATCACTATCAAAGACGTCTTTATTCCTATCTTTCATTCTTGTGTCTAAGTATTACTCTGAATTATCGACATGATCATTGTTTTTTTCATAAAATGTAATTTGACATAATCTAATTGTATGTCTTAATCGTTGCAAAAAGTTATCAATAACGTATAGAAAACATGTGGAACTATAATTTAAGTTCCAATTAATTAGAATTGCATTACCTTTTTGTGTATGCAGGTAGATATCTGCACCCCTTCCGACGTTAGCTGTAACTCATACTGTCTTATGCTTTTTCATTTTATTTCATCTACTTGTTTAAAGGAGTTGCATATATGAACATTTTTAATAAACAGTTTGATTGAAATGATGAACAATCACAGTAGTGCGTTTACTTGATTGTGTTTCACTTTAAAATAGTAACATATAAATTGCAACCAGAGTAATAACTAATTCCAAGTTTGTGTATACGCTCTCAAACTGCACTGATTGTTTGGAACCTACATATGATACTCGATTATATAGTTCTAACTTATGATCCACCTTTTTTCTGAAGTTATTCACATTAACAACTGAATCATATTAACACTGAGTGAGAATTTCAGTGAAAAATCATACATGAATCAGGAAATATATAATAAGTAAGCCTACGAAATGATAATTTTTATGGCCGATTAACCAACTCACTTGCTTCATAATTGTTGATTTCGAACTATTTTACTGAAATTTTCTGATCATTTCTTGTATTAGCTAAATATTAATTCAACATTCCTATATTCAACGGATTTATGGATTAGTTTCAAGTCGTTAAACTCCACTATTTTCCCTTTTCTCTCAGCACATGTACTTCAATATGAATGTTGATCATCTAAGCAAGATCAACGATCTTGATGAGCACAGGTTTATAGAATCATCAGTGTACTTCTTTTGCCATTTTTCAAACACTATTAAAACCTCGGGTTTCTTAAAGTGTTTCTATTTTATTTGTTTGTTAACTTTGACGTGATCACTTTTGAAATTTATAGGTTGCTACAAATACTGAGACGAGTAAAAATGTTGGTCATGCGATTCTCTATGAAATCGTGTTAACAATAATGGGAATAGAATCAGATCCAGGATTGCGAGTACGTTTGTTATGAGGATGTTTTACTCGGTTAGATCGAGGATGTTATTTGCTATCTTTTCGTAATAAACATTATCATTAAACAGTTTAGTATACTTAATAGTTTGTTCTCTTTTATATGTTGCTTCAGAATTAGATATTAAGATGAATAGTAACATTAGATAGATGGTTAATAACATATCATCAAACAGACGAAACTATGATCTGGGATCCTAGTCATTCAAGTTAGATTTGCTTTGTTAACATTCAGATAAATATTCGTACGTCTTACTTCGAGAATATGCTTCGCACCATTTTTTACTTTTTTGTTACCATTCTGAGATCATTGTGTACCCGAAAAATTACTACTTTGTTTCAAATATAGTAATTATTTATGGTCATGTAGAGAAATTTAGTCGTTTGTTGCTTCAGAATTTATTTTACAAAGAAGCTTGTTAGGGTTCATAAATACGGATTACAAGTTATTCAGATATAAAATAACTTTTAGTGCTAACTATTACTTGTCCATCGAAGTTTAACTAACAATTTCCTAGCTTCTAGTAAGACATTCGACTTTAAACCATTAAATAATATGTTCAAACCCCATTCCATGTACTTCGATTCGGGAACTGGTTTGGTAGTATCACTACCTCTTATACTTAGAATGTGGCTCGAAGCGAAGTAATGAGTGAAATTAAGCTAATCTTTAGGAAGCATACTAGTGTTTGATGCCTTTTAACAGCTATGGAAATTATTCTAAAATGAGCGTTCTGTTATCCATTTATATTCTAATTCTTCTAAAGGTTCTTGCCATAAATATTTTGGGTCGGTTTCTACTAAATACTGACAAAGACATTCGCTACGTCGCTCTCAATACTTTGTTGAGAGTTGTGCATGCTGATTCTAAAGCTGTACAGAGACACAGATTGACAATATTGGACTGTTTGAAGGATCCTGATGTTTCGATACAAAGGTTAGTCGGTTTTTGTAAATATAAAAGCTGAGTATGATTCAAGTCATTCAATTTTTAAAAAAATAGTTTCACCGTGTGTTTCAATAAAAAGTAACTATCCAATTTTGTGGTTTTGGTTCTCTACACTTCGATATTATAAGTTCATAAGTGATAGGTGAATCTCCTTTCCCGTTCAAAGTTTATACGAATTGTCTATTGGTAATCAATGTTTACTTAATCATGTTTAGTTTTCTGTGTTCAACTGTAATAAATATATATGGTGTTCAGTATTCTAGTAAAATTACCATCATGTTTCAACACGTAAATTAGATAATCAAACATCAGCTTTGTGTAATTAAACTAAAGATTTCTTTGATTTTACAGGCGTGCTATCGATTTATGTTTTGCATTAACAAATCATACGAATGTTTGTTCAATGGCCAAGGAACTTCTACTTTATTTACAAAGTTGTGATAATGAATTCAAAGGAGATGTTTGTTCAAATATCTCAATAGCAGCCGAGAAATATGCTCCAAATAAAAGGTGGCATGTAGACACCATGATGAAATTGTTAACCACCGTAGGTTTTTATTTTGTTTTGAAATTCTCCAAATAATTTGTACATATATAAATTATATTCAAACTCTCACGAGTTGTTTCAAAAGACCATTCATGGTATCGTAATACCCCCCGTTGCTCTGGTTATTTTTTATGTTCTCTGGATTAAAAAGCCTAGTTTTTTCTTATGATTGTTATATGTCGTTGTTTTATTAGAATTTATCCTTTAGGATATTTATAAGCTGTTTAATTCAGTTGGTTTTATTCTATAAAAACTACAAGATTATAAACCTTTTTTAATGCCATATTGTTTCGTTGTTGATTTCTTCGCTTAAGTATTTTGCAAAACTCTTTCAGTAAGGGAAGTTTATATTATTGGAAAGGTAGATAGGAATTTTGTAAAATATGTCGTTTGCAAATAGGGTTTGTAAATTTTTGCTATTGGATCGGATCAGTTGAGCCCTGTATATTAATGCTTGGACATATTGTCTTTAATTTTTCCGAGTTATGTTTTTGTATGTAGTTCAGATTAGATGGTTTGAATGTACGTATAGGAGAATGCTTTAAAAACGGTGCTACATTTACCGTCGCAAGTTTAAATGTTGTTGATAATTAACTTGCACTAATCGAACTCTGTTCGGTTTCTGCAAGAATTCTTTTCAGAAATCTAAAAGGTACTTCTAGAACTTTTCTTTTAGCTATTATCATTTGCATTTTCCAATTGTATGTTATTATTTTGATAGGCTGGAAACTATGCTCGGGATGATGTCGTCTCATCTCTGGTTAGCCTGATTTCTCAAAATCCTAGTCTACATGCGTACGCTACCGTTCAGCTATTCAGTGCTATGAATGGAGCCATGTCTCAACAACCTTTGGTTCAGGTATATTGTAATTCCCTTCCATATTACCGTTCAGTTTTTCTGATTAATTAAAACCACGAAATATTGTTAAATTTGGATTCCGGGTGTCAGTACTGTATCTTTATCCTAGGTTCTCAGTATTCAGAGATATAATTGAAGTTTCTATACATCTACCAATGCCATTCATTTATCAGGAGCATTATTCATATAATATACATAAGTACTGGCACAGCTGGGCAACAAAATATGCGCTAAACAATAGTGAAATGGAATTGTCAAGAGGTAGGTGAGGAAGAGAAAGTACAATCAAAAATAAACAAATGATTAGGGATAATAATATTAATAATAATGAGTGGCCGAAAATAGTATATGATAGAATATATAGTTCAGTTAAAAATACAACCAGCAACACATCTCTCAGTTAAGCCACGTCCTCTCAATTTTCTATATGAAGAATGTAAAAGAAAGCTACTGCAGGATCTCCATTGGCTTCTGTTTCCACTCATATTTGGTAATGTCTCAAGCCACTAAGTTGTATAATCCTTAGAATCCTAACCAGGGAGCAGTGAGGAACTGAAATGTCCCAGTCCCGTACAGTTTTTTTTGCATACTTTGGTACTATGTCCTGAAGTGAACGATAGTTTGGACGCCGCCGGCATTTAACTTATCCTTTGGTAGCTGTTACATGAAAGACCTACGGAGCTTCTAAAGCTGAGAGCAACCTCCTCTTTATTCCTGGATGTTGGAACACTGTTTCCTAAACCCTTGCGAACAACGCAGTCAGTTCGGTGATCAGATGGTAGCCACCATCCTTAAACGGAGTTAATAGTAAGTCGTCTGAGTTTGGTGTTTCAGACGTTAGAGTTGCTTGTAACCTTGTTGTGTGTATGTGTATCACTTTTCATCGACTATGGATAATAGAACAGTCCGATCGATGTTGCTGGGACAGCATCTTAGCTGAACTGTCCGTCCAAATAATCGTTATTTATCACAGAAATGCCATTTGATGTTACTGTTTGGGATGTTCTTAGCTTCACAGATTATTTTACTGATACTAGACCTTGTGTTTGTGTCTGAAATGATATGAAATAGCTGTTCGAAACTCGTAGCATGCTCTGGAATCTAAGTTTCTCTGTGCTTACATTGCGAAATAATCTGTTTCACGAATCAATTTGTAACGTCAAACTTGCGTCCCACCACAGTAAACCAGCGTGCCCCGAGGGGCTAGTAGGAACCGTCAGTACTTTCGACAGACGAGCTGCTGAATGAGATACAAATTAATACAGAATCGAAACTACGAAATCGAATAGCGAAATAAGTTTGTCTAAATTAAAGAAAAGCAATTAACGTTTGAGTTGACAGTGAAGCAGAACAAGCAATTTGAGTTCAGTATTCTTTCTTAATGAAAATTAGTTTTCATTAGTTTCCTAAGGTTAATTTTTAATGTAACTTTTCTGAATTGTAGTTCTATCTGAATGAAATTTGTCATGATGGCGTATGTTTTAAAAATATGTATTAGCGCACGATTTTTGTATTAGGGCATTCGAACCCAGAAACTTTCACATTGTTTTCACTGCAGATAAAAATAGTAGTAGTTTATTTACACTTGGTTGTTAAAGGTATAGTAATGTTCAACTTATTTTGTCCTCCTAAAGCCCATTGATGCTGCTTGGTAACTGTAATTTATATATTTTATGTGGTTCTTTGACATACTTGAAGTTTTCCATTATTTCTCGCTATGTAGATAAAAAGCGTTATACTTTTAATCAGCTGAGTAAATTAGATAGTAAAAGCATAGATTTCTATCCTCATAGCTACAAGGAAACTGTTTTTCGATCTATCTGTTTAAGGCGGGAATAGCTCAATCAAGTGAAACCTAATCTAATTCTACTTTTCAGGTTCTTTTGATATATAGAAGGTAGTATATGGATATAAATCTTTTGTGTCTCAGTTGCAATAACTGGTTTTTGTATTAGATGATAAACTTACTCCATATAGCAAACATTTGACTAAATGAGGATCTTGATTTTTATAAAACAACCGAAAACCTATCAATTTTAAATGTACATAAAATTAATTTTTTTGAGCTTTACCAGTTTTTAGTGACTTTACATTGAGATATGTCAGTTTGGTGGGTTTGTCGCTTTGATTACGCCATTGTAATTTTGTTTCTAATTCTTTCTTGGTCAGTCAGTCAGTCAGTCAGCTACAACGTAGGACCAGGCACATATGTGCATCGGTCCAGGTTGCCATACCTCATTAGCACAACAAGATGAACACCGGATTCATAGGAGTGGTTAGGTCAAAGGTTGCAATAAGGATATAGTATAGGAAGGAAGAATTAGTTCGTAGAAAGAAAGATATGAAGTGATTTTAATCTCTTAGTTTAAGGGAAGATAGAGAGTGTATACACCTACGCCATTGTGATCGATTCTGAGCCATGTCACCAAGAGTCTCCAACCATTGGTTACGAAAGTCACGCGGACCCCAACCAAGTAGTCTGCATCTACCAACATGGCTAAGACTAGAAGTTAGTGACTTCAAGCACTGATGCCACGTTTTGGTTTGGCCGCCCCTAACTTTTTTCCAACCATCCCCTACACCGGTTAGCATTGCACGTCGTGGTAATCGGTGTTCAGGCATACGTAATACGTGGCCCAACCATCTCAGTCGATGGAGATTCACAACCTCATCAACTGATTTACCATCGTTACCTAATACCCTGCGTCTAACCTCACTATTACTTACCCGGTGATCCCAGCAGATGCCAGCAATATTTCTAAGGCATCTGTGGTCAAATACTTGTAGCTTACGGGTGTCTTCTACTCTTAAAGGCCATGTTTCGCTGCCGTAAAGTAAGACAGAACGGACTGCCGCGCAGTATACTCGTCCTTTTATTGATAGACGGATATCTCGCCTCCGCCAAAGGTGACGTAAGTTGGCAAAAGCCAAACGGGCTTTTCGAATCCGTGCTGAGATTTCGTCAGACACCAACCCATTAGGGCTGATCAGACTTCCAAGATAAGTGAAGTTGTCAACGCGTTCGACTACTTCACTCCCTATCCTTAGTTTAGGTGTTGATGCAGACCAGTCCTGAAGCAACAACTTGCATTTAGAGGGAGAGAAGCGCATCCCAAACATTCTGGCATTGTTGCTTAGTGCTACCAGAAGACTCTGCATTTTGTCAGCGTCTTCACCGAACAGGACTATGTCATCTGCGTATTCTAAGTCGATAAGTGGACATCCTGGAAGGAGATCAATACCCGAGAATTCAGTCGACGAGAGTGTTATTTCCATCAATAGGTCAATGATGAAGTTAAACAAAAATGGAGAAAGTGGACAGCCTTGACGGACACCACTTGAAGTTGCAAAAGTAGATGACAGTTCGCCATAAGCCCTGACTCGACTAGTAGTGTTCGAGTAAAGAGCCTTCACAAGGTTTATGTACTTCTGAGGTACGCCTTTCAATGACAGACACTGCCACAGAGTCTCGCGGTCTACAGAGTCAAACGCTGCTTTTAAGTCAAGAAAGACCACCATCGTCGGACGCCGATAGGTATGCCTGTGTTCTAGAACCTGACGAATGGTGAATATGTGGTCGATGCAGCCACGACCAGGTCTAAAGCCAGCTTGGTTCTCTCGAGTTTGTAGTTCACGAGTCTTAGTTAGACGTCTGATAATTATCGAGGCCAGTATTTTAGATACTATGTTTGTTAAACTAATCCCTCTGTGGTTGTCACAGGATGATTTTGACCCTTTCTTATATATTGGGACGATAAGTGATTGCGACCAGTCAGATGGGATAAAGTCTAATTCCCAGATCTTAGCTAAAATATTAGTCAACCTAATCGCTAAAATTGGACCACCATCCTTAAAGACCTCTGGAGCCAAACCATCTGGACCAGCTGCCCTTCCTCGTTTCAGATTAACTATAGCCTTTTGAACTTCAGCAAGAGTTGGGGGACCTACTTCAATGTTCCATTCACATTGTCTGGGAATGGAGGGTAGTTGTAGAGTAGCTGAAGGCCAGCTGAACTGTTCTCTAAAATGTTCCGCCCATCGTTCTAAACGTCTGGACTGGGAGCAGATGAGAGTATTATCTTTTTCCGAAATAATCTCACTTACACTTGACTTATTAATTCCAGTTTCTTTTATTAGTCTGTAAAGCTGTCTTGTGTTTCCTATAGTCGCCGCCTTTTCCATCTCTTTTGCTTTCGTTACCCACCACTGCTCACGGTCGTTCCTTAGACTTTTTCTTAACCTAGATCTGATTTGTTTTCGCTCTTCATCATGTTCAGAACCTGATGGGACGACTTTGCGGGAATCCATCAGTGTGACAGACCTTGAAGAAATCCACTGGTTCCTTGCAACTCTGTGGTTTAAGTCACTAATAGATGTCACTGCTGTTTCCACAGCTGATTGTATGCCCTTCCAAGCAACATCTGGGTCAGCCTCGTCTTCACAACTACCTAAGTGTGACCTCAGTTGTTCCTGGAACCTACTTTTGGTTTTCTCGTTACTCAACTCAGTTCTAACGGGTCTTTTTAATGTGGCTTTTTTGCGTCCAGTGAGGCGCAAGCAGATGCGTGCCCGTATTAGGGCATGGTCGGAGTCCAAGCAGGTACTCCAGAATGAGCGACAATCTTCTACCGACCCTCTCCAACGATGACTGATGGCAATATGGTCTATTTGAGTCCATCGTTGGTTTGGTGTAGGGGGTCTCCATGTTAGACGATGTCTCTCCTTATGCTTAAAATTTGTGTTTGCTAAAAATAAACGATTGTCTGAGCATAGCTGCAGCAGACGATCACCATTATCTGTTCGCTGTGTCGGAATACTAAAATATCCACCTAAATGCCTTTCTGTTTGGTTTAAGCTACCTATCTGAGCATTAAAATCACCTGCTACGAGTACTATGTCTGAGCGTTTAGCTTTCTGAAGAAGTTCAGAAAGCTTTCTGTAAAATTCATCTTTCACTTCATCTGAGCTGCAGTCAGTGGGAGCGTAGACAGAAACGACAAAAAGGCAACGACGTGTGTCCCTATCCTTCCGAGTTCTTACGCAGCCGTTCAGCCGAACAGCACATAGACGACTGTTGACGGGGATCCACTCTAGCAGTGCTTGTTCGGCCCTCATGCTTAGTGCTATGCCTACACCTGCCAGTCCACGAGAACTGGCCATCGGGTCACCAGATACACGAAGGGTGTATCTCGTTGGCTCTCCGTTCTGCCGAGGTGAGGTCAAGTGAATGACCACACTGGGATCCTGTATGCGTGTTTCAGAGACACAGCATACATCAATGGTAAGAGACTCTAGGGTTTTAGCCAAGGAAGCCTGTTGACCGATTTGACATAGAGTGCGTACGTTGAAAGCTCCAATGTGTAGTTTGGAGCGAGGTTTCAGTAGACCTGGTCGTGTTGATTGTTATCATTCCACAAAGCAGGTTCTATATTTTTATTACGGAATTTTTAATTCTAGTTGAATATACATGCCATAATTCAGTAAAATTATCGTTTCTCACCAAATATTAAAAATTCTTTTATAGGTAGCGTGTTGGACAATCGGGGAATATGGTGATTTGTTGGTTTCGCCAGAACCTTCTGAAGATATTCCGAACCCAGTTACTGAATTAGAATTGATTGCTGTGTTACAGAGTGCTCTAGTTAGTGTGACATCGACAGTGCAAACAAAACAAATGGTTGTAAACACACTTGTTAAACTAACCACCCGTTTTACTCCAACACATTTAGAGTAAGTTCTCAGTAAGATTATTTCATATTTACTTCCTTACGCGGCATGGGCCAACCACCAGCATTTTCCATCCAACTCTGTTCTGTGCAATCCTTCGAAGTCGCTATTCATCCTTTTAATATCTGCTTCCAAATCTGGATGCTGCGTGGTTCTTGACTGTTCTCTTTTTACCTTCAGTATTTCAAAGTTGGTGCCTGCCTCCTGATGTAGTTTTGTGATTTCCGCAATGTATGTCCTATCAACTTCCAACTTTCCCTAATTTCCTCCTCATCTGGGAGCTGGTTTATTGTCTCCCGCAGTAGGCTGTTGCTGATGTTATCCGGTCAACGGACATTGAGTACCTTAGGTAGACTATTGTTTATAAGTACTAGTGCTACGTTTGGAGAAATTACGAGTTCAGTTAATCTGAAAAACGGAACGAAGGCTCTGTGACACAATGACAGATTAGATAGCTATTCCGACGCGTCCCAACCCAGCTACCTAGAGAAAGCAGTCCGAATTCGGAAGAGGGAAATATATTCTTTATCAGCGGAGTCCAAATCATCTAATTTATTCTGAGTTGTCCATTGTATTCTGTGCTTTCCCTCAGATGTCGAGGTCTTCATAATCCAATCAACCACCAGAAGAAAGGGAAAGGTGGAGTGTAAGCAGCCTTGCCTGACTCTGGTTCTCATTTGGAATGCATCTGTCAGCTAGCTGTCCTACATGCACGACTTTGCACTGTAGTCTGTTGTATGAATTCCCGATGATGTTGACGATTTTCTCAGATACACTATGGTATCGAAGAGGGTTCCATAAGATTTTCCTGTCAAACGCTTTCTCATAGTCAGGGAAGTTTATGTATAGTGACAAGTTCCATTCAATTGATTGCTCAACAATGATCCGTAGTGTAGCTATTTGGTCTGTGCACGACCGATCCTTACGGAATCCGGTCTGTTGATCTCGAAGTTGCACGTCTACTGAATCGTTCATCCGGTTCAGCAACACTTTGTTGAAAACTTTTCCTGGAACTCAGAGTAGTCAATTACCCCTGTAGTTCTCACACTTGCTCAGATTTACTTTATTTGATATCTTGATTAGGTGTCCTTCTTTCCAGTTTGTCAGTGGCACTTGTTCTTCCTCCCAAATCCTCCTGAATAGAACGTGGAGCATGTTTGCAGTCACTTGTATGTCTGATTTCAGTGCTTTGGCTGGTATGTTGTCAGGTCCTACTGCTTTCCCACTCCTCATTTGTCTGATGGACATCCTGATTTCTTCGATAGGTGGTGGAGTGACATCTATAAATAGGTCTATGTGTACAGCTCCGGTGTCCGATTGGTTCAGCGGGGCAGGTCTATTCAAGAGTTCTTAAAAGTGCTCTACCCACCTGTTCCTCTCTCCTTGAGTTTCAGCGACGGGCCTGCCTTCTTTGGCCTTGACCGACTTCTCTGGTTTACTATATTTCCCTGTCAGCCTTATCGTCGTGTCATATAGTTGTTTTATATTTCCTTCTTTATCAGCTTTTCTCACAGTTGTTGCTAGGTCTTCCACGTATTTCTGCTTTTCAGCTCTAACGCTCGTCTTTACTTGTTTGTTTGCTGTAGTGTATTCAGTTTGTGTCTTGATTTTCTCTGTTCTTGTTCGGCTGTTGTTAAGTGCTATCTTCTTATTTTTCCTTTCTTGAGTCTTGTTCAGGATTTCCACAGAGATCTATTCCTTGTGATGATGCTTCTTGAGACCCAGAACCTCCCGACACGTTGAAGTTAGTACTTCTCTGATCCCTTTCCAATTGTTTTCCATAGTAGTTTCCTCTTCTCCCAGTAGATCTTGTAAGGCTTGGAACCTGTTGTTGAGAGATATCTTGAATTCGTTGGGTTTGTCAGTATCTGGAAGGAAGGCTGTTTCGAACCTTTGTAATGTTGTTTCCCCAGTTGTTCATTACTTCTTTAGCTTCAGTTTCATCTTGGCAACCACCAGTTGGTGGTGATCTGAAGTCATGTCAGCTCCTCTCCTGATTTTCGCATCTTTCGCTGACCTTCTGATTGGTCTGTTTTTCTGTAGAGTGATCCTGTGGGACCCATGTAGCTTTGTGTATGCGTTTGTGAAGGAATATTGTGCCGTCTATAACGATTTTGTTGAATACATATAAGTTTGCGAATCTGTCACCAATCTCGTTACTTTCTCCCAATCTATTTCGTCCCACAATACCTTCATACCCGGCGTTGTCCGTTCCGACTTTGAGGTTTAGGTCTCCTATAAGGATAGTCAGGTCTTTTCTTGAGCACCTCGCTATGATCGGTTGCAGCCTCTTGTAAAACTGATCTTTGTCGTCTTCATTGTTAGGATTGGTAGGTGAATAATATTGGATAACATTCATTGTGATTCCTTTCTTTTTTGTTTCGATTGATGTTTTGATGATTCTGGATCCATGAGATTCCCATCCTATAAGTACATTTAGTGCTTTTTTGGACAGCATCAGAGCAAATCACTAAGTTTGTGGAGCACTTTCTTCTTTGTGACTTGAGTAAAACAGCATCTCTCTCGAATTTATCCTTTTCTGTCCAGCTTGGGTTCAATGGGTTTTACTTATTCCAAGAACCGCCAAGTTGTATCCCCTCATTTCCGTTGCCATTTGACTGGTCCTCTTGGTCTCCCACATTGTCCAGTCATTCCATGTATCTATATTAATTGTTGCTCTGGTTGTTACAAGGACGAGCGAATAAATAACAACATCAAAGTGTAGCCTAAGTTTCATATTCAAGTCTGTGTGCTCGGAAGCTAGAATACCCTATATGGGCTCGATGTAACTACTGACACTACGGGTTTCCTTACTTCTTTAAAGAACCGTCTTCTGTGTGGACTTGGCACTGGCATTAACGTCAAGAGCGCTTCAGGAGGAATTCACTACTGATATGTCACTTTTGTTTTAATTGTTTGCCTTTATCTTATAATTTCTTTATATTGTAATAGTCGCTATAATTTTTCTTTACTGTTCATTTCATAATACTTTGTCGTGACAGAAAACTTAAAGAGCTCATTAAATTTTATTCGACTAATGTGAATCTGGAGCTGCAACAGCGTTCTGTTGAATACAGCAAAATTTGCTCGCAACCTATAAGTATTCGTAGTGGTTTGCTTGATTGTATGCCAGTACTACCAACAAATGCTTTGTCTGGAACTTCGAATCCAGATAACCTGAGTCGTGGAATTAATGAAGGTGATGGTGTCGAAACTGAAGAAGGTAATATAGGAGTTGCAAAATCTCTGTCAGTTAATGGCTCAACTAATCAGTCTCAGTCGCTTACCATTTTCGATTTATTGGGTCCAGAAAGCGAATCGGATTCTCACATGAGTAAGCACTATATTTTATTTCCTATAAGTGATATTCTCAGTGAAAATTACTTCTCAAGTGTATGTTTAAATCTATTTATCTCATAAATAAATTTGATCATTATCCGCTACTTATGTGCTCGTTATTGAGCCAAAGTTCTATGAATCTATTATTTTCCATTTTTTATGTCAGTCTACTCTTTCTTCTTTGGAAACTTGTTGGATTATCATTTCTGCATCAAGTTTTAATTTCATAGTTCAGGCATAAAACAGAATCTCAGGATGAACAAATAGAATTTCACTCCTTTTGATGACCTACTTGTGCTTCGTTCATCTTTTATTGTAATAGCTCAAAACGCAACCTCGAATCATTCTGATACTGGGACTAATTTACTAGATCTTCTTGATGTATTTGCTCCATCTGAAATGACAGTGTCTAGCAATACTCAAAATGCAACAGGATTTTCAGGTGATTTATTTGGCACTAAAAATGGTTTTGGTGCCCCTATTATTCAGCCTGCTCCTCAGCCTTCTGTCTTGGATTTCAACTTTGTCAATGATTCTGGTCCAGGTTTGACAAATCAAGGTCAGTTAACCTTCTTTTTTTTCTTTTGTTTCATAATTGTCAATGATCATTAATTATCCTACCTACCTATATCCTGGTAGGAAATTTTTTGGTAGGTTTAAAAAATTGATTACTACGGTTGCTCCTTCCACCTGCAGAGCTTAAGGGGAAACTTCTCCAGTTTATTTTTCGAATATCTGGTTTTGAAATTCTAGATCGCCGATTTTTAGACATTTTTGTCTGCTGCGGAAACCCGAAAGCCGAAATGTATATTATATTCGACGTAAGATATTACCAACATCTTCCTTTCATCCTTTAAAGAGCTACATTTTTGGAGATGCTTGTTATCTTGGAGAAACATCTTATTATCTCCACATTTCAGTATGATCTTCAGTAAATCTTCATTTCGGTCCAGTATTTCGCAACTCTTAGTCTTACAGTTGTCCAAGAATCAGGGATTATCTCGATTTTGCGACTATCTAATGCATATATTGAAAGGAAAAGTTAAGTTTTTGTACTTCTGAGTTGCTATCATGTGCTGGTAACTCAAATTAATAACTTTTAACTTCTGAGTTTTTATAGTTTGATTAAAAATTATATTTCTTTGTTCAACTACACAAAAATTATTCGACCCAAGTTAATGCTTTTGCGGGCATCTTAATTTATTACGATAGTTAACTGGTATGAATATTCCATTAGGCCTACTAGTCTTGTATTTTTCAAAGGTGGAATGGAATTTAGGCACGAACTAGTGATTTGACTACATTTTCCAGTCCATCTACGCGGTTATTACTGGAGAATTTACTCCATTATGAACACCTTAACAGGGTTTCCAGGAAGTCCCACTCTTCACAATTTTGGTCCCGATAGTAGGTAGTTTTTTGTAAGGGAAGGGTATTTTTAGTGTTGATAATAATTAAAGGAGAATCGATAATCATTTTATGTTTACTGCTTTTAATTTCGAATCTACTTGTACAGATAGTGACATATCTCGATGGAAAACTAGGTTGAGGGTGTTATCACATCTTGTTGAGATGTGACCAATAGTCCAAATTATATCTCAGTATTTGGTGTCTCCCCTAATGACTTTCACAGCAAAATTCTAAACAGAAGCATGTGTAAATTCACTAGGAATGAGATTGTTCGCAGTAATCAGAGTGTCTAGATCTCTATATACACAACCCATAAGTGTACTGTGGCTCGTGAGGTTTACCGAGAACCAAACTGATTTTATTAGTGTTGGGAACACTTCAACTTTACTAGTTCGACAATTCAGTGCGTATAATAGACAGCCACCTCTACTTTTATGTTCCGTATTGCATCAAAATAGTAGGTAGCTCTGAATATTTAATCCTGAATCAGAAATAGAAAGACCCCATTATTCCGTAACAATTACAAAAGATGATATGGCTAATAAAACTTTAGTTTTTAAGATCGCAATTTTATTGAAAATTAAATGTACATTAATAAGTAATAAGTTTAGGAAGTGTAAAGTTTCAAAAAGCCAATATGTTATTATTATTAATGGCTTTATTCAATATTATATTTTGGTACAATATAGAATTCTCAGCACAGGGTTTACGGCGGCCTGGTTGAATATCTGAGCTACCTGTTTCTGCTATCTCATTATTTCAACAAGTTATCTGTTTTTTCACTACTTTTAACGTCTCATTATGTCCATTAATCGCATAACCTATACAGGCGCGTTTATGAAAAGCCTACGACCTTTCGCTGCACAGGTCACAAAAAAGTACTATAAAAGACATCGTGGTGGTTGGCAATATGCTTTAAAGAGAATGAACATTAATCGTATGTCGATTCTCGAGCTGCTAAATTCTAACTGCCGATCACTAATCAACAAAGTGGACTATCTGCAATTCCTACTAAGTCAAAATACGTATCGTAATTGTGGTGTCATCATAATTCAAGAATCTTGGTTAAATGATTTACAGGATGACTGCCTGGTATCACTACGTGATTTCAAAATTTATCGTCAGGATCGATCAGACAATAAAAAGAGGTATGGTGGCGGTGTAGCTACGTTTGTAAACATAAACTAGAGTCCATCTTCGTTTGTGTGCTTGAAGTTTTCAAATGACTTTATCGACTGTCTAACTCCAAGATGTCGTCCAAAACATCTGAATTAATACAAATATGTTTATGTTACCTATATCTACGTGACTTCAGACTGCACATCATCTGCGCTATCTGTTTTCGCTGGTGAATTCACTGAGTTTCACTGTTACTTCCTTCAGTGATTCACTTTCAGTTGTATGTGGTGATTTCAATTCATATGACTGTAGCTTCCTTACGTCACTAGGTCATCAAAATGTAGTAGGTTTTCCTACTCGTTTGGATGCTCATTTAGACTTCGTTTTCATTAATGGTGGGTATATATGTGACTCGTAAACGTGCTCCATTGTCTAGCTCGGATCACTGTATAATTCGTGTTCTACCTAAAGTATATGGAAAGCATGGGAAGAGTACACTCTTACATCAAACCAAGAAAGTCAAATATAGGAATTACTCAAAAGAAAACATTCGAAATCTGCAAAACATGTTTCATGCGACTAACTGAGAATTATTTACAGATGACTCACTGGAAATCACTGCTGATGTTATCATGTGTTACCTTAAATTGTGTTTCGATATTTGTTGTCCCACTGAAACCATTTTTGTAAGTTTTGATCGACTTACATCTTCACAACTAAAACGACTACGGAGGGTGAAAGAAAAAATGTACAAGGAGAAAAACTCTAATGAAGTTCGTAAGCTAAATGGTCTGAAAAACCTAGAGATTAGACGTCTGAATTCTATGTTTACTCAAAAACTCTCCAAGTATGTGGAAACTCTTTAAGGAAATTACAGGTGACAGACGGATTAGGAGAGATAACCAACCGAATGTTTGTGACTTAAATAAGTCTTTTGTACGTCATTCATCTGATGTAATGCTCCCTTCATCCACAGGTTTAAAGAATAGCTGTGTTCCTAGTTTCACTGAAATTTATACCCGAAGATGTCTCCAGTCACTTAATTCATCCCGATGTTTAGGACCTGATGGTGTTCCAAACCTTTTAAAAAAATGTGCTGACGTCCTATGTTATCTATTCATGACTATCTTTAACAGATCCTTCTCATCTAATCTCATACCGAAGATGTGGAGAAAGATGAAGATAATCCCTGTACCCAAGAAAGTATCTGGTGATAAGAATGTGAAATTTAGACCTATTGCAATAACTTTACCCTTCCTCGAAACAAAGGAAAATTTATTAATACTTCCACTTGAGCCTGCGATAAAAGAGCATATTGATCCGTATCAGTTTGCCTACAGATGCAAAAGAAGCACCGTAGATGCTGTTGCTGTTCTGCATCACAACATAGTGTTCAACTTAGAAAACGGTAAGAAGTATGTTCGATGCTCTTTTCTGGACTATACTTCAGCTTTTGATTCTATACCAAGACAACGTTTAATTAACAAGTTAGTCAGCGTCAACACTGACAGCTGGATAACCAACTGGCTATGTTCCTACCTCTCTGGAAGGTATCAGTACACTTTATTTAGAGGAAAGTGTTCAGAGTCTCTACTGTCTCATAAAGGTGTACCACAAGCAGCTGTTCTTTCACCTCTTCTTTTCTCTTTTTTTTCTGCATGATCTGCCATCTTCCACAGAAAACACTTTTGTGAAATATGCGGATGATCTCACTGTATGTATGCCTATCTCTTCCTCTTTACATCTCATAGAAATGAATGAGTTTTTGTCTCGTTTTGATTGTTGGTCTGTTGGTAATAGTCTTATACTTAATCCGTCTAAATGTCAAGCTGTTAACTTTAGCATGAGATATGAACGGCGTCTAAACACCATTTTGAGATCCCATAATGCTTGTGCCGTTGGAGACTCGTTGATAAACAGTGTCGAAGGTCAATTATCTTGGTGTTACCTTTTCCTCTGATCTCTCTTGGTCTTCTCACGTTTTATTGTTATCGAAGAAAGTTTTCCGTCTGACCTTCTACATAAAGAGATTGCATGCTCTTGGAATTATTCTTCCTTTACTCTTACAATTTGTCAATTCTTGCATATTACCTTTTATTCTTTACTGTTCTCTATTATTTTTCCCGGGCTTTTGAGAATAGACTTTGCTGTATTGCGGAGAGTGCTGAAGTCAGTTAGCAAGGTGTGTGGTGAATCTTTCGAGGTCATCATTAATATGGTTGTGGATAGACATTTAAAGTCTTTCAAACTCTTGACAGGTGTTATCTTATCAGATACTAACCATCCCCTTCATTCATGTCTTTATCCTTGTATATCTTCTGGTAGAACGAAACGTAATTTCATTAAAATCCATACACACAAGCAAAAGTATAAAAGTTCTATAATACCTTACTTAGTAAATATACTCTGTGACGAACAGGTTGTTAGAGTTAACCTAGTCAATAACCTGCGTTCTTAACATGTCTCTAATTTGAAAAGTTGTACAGTTTTTCAGATTTTCAAACCCCTTTTTTGTGTAAGAAACTTGTTAAAACACCCTGTGCTGAGAATTATATATTGTACCAAAATATAATATTGAATAAATCCATTATAATAATAATAATAATTTATCATTTTGTTTTATATTAACGTTACTGGTTGAATATTTCATTCTAATACCATTAATTATGAGGATATTACAGAAAACAGTGTACACATTTATGAGTTGATTTATTTAATGTATGACTCATTTCCTCATTCATATTATAAACATAATTCACTCACTGATAAGAAGCCATAGACATTGCAGATAGGTGTGAATGATATATCATTACCCATTGTTTGGTTCCATGATATATTTTAAGTTACAGTAATAAATTATCAGGCTTAAATTTACTTTGTTGAGATGAGATCCATTTTAATATAAATTTCGTTTGTAACCAATCACTCTTTGCGGTTTAAGTACATGTTTACTTTCTTAAGTAAATCCTAACTAGGAAAATCTCTTGCAACAGCTGGATAGGCAGCCCGAAAGTGTGAGTAAACAACTGCGGAAGACTTCGAATTGAGTGGCCAAGTTACATTACTTAATCAATTTTTTCCGAAAATTTACTGGATTTCAAGAAAAATGAACGAATTAAAATATACTTATTAAGTAATAGTGTTTATTGATTTAATTCTGTTATGAAGTTTTTTCATTCAGTGCTTTCATGAACTGGCCCTGTGATTACCTTATCTTATACGATTACCACGAATACGTTTGCCAAATTTAGATACGCGGACTTATACAACCAATAGATGACTCATGCACCTGAACGAGAGGCCTAGAGTACCGATTGTCCTTTTCCCCTGTCTGTTAAGTCCAAAACGCCAATATCAGCCACGGCGACTGCAACTGGATGAAAATAAATTCTAAACAAGTTTTGGCATGGGCACTTTACGTATTTTTGGTACGACGGATATATTGGCACTAGTTGTGCAAAAGATTAGCTGCGTTCAGTATCGAGTACCCAACGGAATTAAGTGGGAACGGGTACTAGGAATATACTTAATAGTCACAATATTTCTAAAAATCACTCGTTTATTAACTTTTAGCTATAAGTTTAGTAACGAATTCAGCTTTAATCATATCCTCAAGACATCATTGTGTTAAAATTCCATTTTGCAACGTATATCGCTTAGTTTCTTTCAGAGTTTTAACAAACTGACCAATTGTTCCCCGAATACACAGTCAGTAAATTATTCTATAAAAGGAAAAATCAAATAACTAACTGGATACTGAGTGAGTTGATACAATTGGAAATAAACTAATAATAAGTGAACAAAATTCACTGTGAATTAATCGTTACAATCAAAATGCACTCCAAGTTAACTAGAAGAAAATCGCTTAAAACCGATATACGAACTTTGATTTCCTTCCTCATGTACTTAGGAATATAGCATCCGCATCATCCATTGTTTTAATTCTGTTGTAATTCCTTAGATTTGTATATTGTTACGTATTTACTCTTTGTTTTATTTCAGTTTGTCAAGATAGGTGTCATGAATACAACAGTAAATAGTTTCATTTTCTTAATTTTATCCGTTCTTATAGTGTAATATTATTACTTTTGGTGTGGGTTACAATTTTTTTGCAGAATAATTGACAGTTTGTAATCTCCATTCAATTTCTACAATAATTTCTTAATTTAGTCCCGTCAGTTCCTTCGATCACGATATACAATTCGAATGAGATAAGAATTGTATTCAACTTCGTGCCTTCCGCTGTATTAGATGGTCATTTTAACATAATTACTATCCAGTTAGTGGCAACTACTACGAGTCTTCAGCCAATTGATTCTTTTGAATTCCAGGCTGCTGTGCCCAAATCTTGCCAGTTACAGCTTTTTCCACCATCATCTAGTTCTATTCTATGTGGCCCTAACTCTACTCCACTAACACAAGTGTTGAAGCTTAGCGTTCCACCGAAGGTAAACTGGGTTGCTTTATATCCATTTTCGTTTTTCCGCAAGCTTTTTTTTAAGCGTTTGCCAGCTATTTCAGTGAAATGTGACAGAATTCGTTTCTCGTTTTTGATTCCTATCGAATATATCAGTTTTGCCCTGTGTTTGTCATTTCTTAATAAAAATTATCTGTTGGAACTTATTATTATTCCTGGAATTATGAGAAATTTGTTTGACATATTCGATTTGATTTGATTTACAATTCGTCGTCGTTGGCTAGATATAATCATAAGGTGGATTTTCTTTCCAGCGTTCGTTAATTCATCAGAAGCACTTTAGATACTCTTTTCTGTTTTACTGTTATGTTAAGTGAAACTACTTTTTTTAAAAACTCAGTCATCAGGTAATTGGTATGGACCACACTCTATATGTGAAGCCTGATGATACTACCCGGATCCCAAAACAGAAGCAGGCTGAGAGTGGTTCGAACGTGGGCCTTAGTGATTTAAAGTCGAACACCTTAAGCATTAACCCAACGCTCTCCTAAATATGTTAGTAACCGAATCGTTCTCTGTGAAGGTTTTATTCGATATCATTAACTTACATTAACCGATTATAAAAAGCGTAGTGTAATAACAATTCTATATTCTATTAAACAGACTCAAATGTCGTAGTTGATTTCAAGCGAATAAAAATATAATTATAGTTTTTTCCTAAAGTGGTTTTTTCTGTTTTCCCTTACTATCATGCTCTGGATCAACCTTTATTAATAAAAAGATATGTATATCATTTACCATCAGTCTTTAGTTGTATAAAGTTATCAAGCTGCGTGTTTAAATGAAACTGTTCCAGCTTCATAATTCTGTTGATTAGTTTCTCATTATTCTAAGGCTTATGATGCATATGTGTGTTCGTACATGTGTAGAGGATAATGGTATTCAAAATTGTTTTCATACGCTACTGAATTAATTTCCTCTTACGAACATGTGGCTGTTAGCTGTCAATTGAAGTGTACTATCGTAGTGAACGGGAACACAAATGGGAACAATCGAATATATTTGAATATAAAATTACAAAATATCTTAATAAAATCTGAGAATCATGCAGTAAATACTTCATTTGCAAAATGTCAATCAATTGTCTCCGATTTCATTGTTGTTTCGTTTCCACACCAATCATTCTTTGTTCTCGTTCTCTTCTTAACCTTCTGCCTCCAAGCATTTTACTTTCGGTTGGCGAGACATACTACTTATATCTGTCGACATCATTAGCACAAACCACATTATTACTCATTTTGCATTTAATTAGTTTGAAAAGAAACTAACTGACTTTACTTACGGTGATTTTTTATATTTAGGTACGTCCACGTATGAAGATTCGTTTGCAGTTTGTCAAAAACGGTGAGACAAAAACGGACGAGTTTCAACTCGACGAGTTCCCTCAAGTATTGTGGCAGTAATATTTGGAGAATTGTTTATGAACTAAACAAAACCATTCATGAACCCTCAAGTCTAACCCAAAATAAATGGGGAGTTAATCTTATTCTGGCTGTGCTTAATCGTGTATTTCTGCGAAAATAATTAATATGTTGTTTTTTGTTTGTATAAAATGTTATGTGCACCCAAGACTGTTTATTGAAACTGCCACAGTGCCTCCATTGTTTCTTGTTATCAATTTTCCACCAGCTCCACATCCTAATATAATGTAATTCGAATTTTCGCATATCGTTCCGGCAAGAGTAACAAATAAACCCGATATGCAAATTTTCACTGTCTTGCTACTACTGATCTTGGGATAAATTTGATTTCTTTTATCTTTGATACACTTGTTTTTTGTTTATGTCAAAATCTCATGTTTTTGCTTCTTATTTGTCTGTTTCATCATGTTTAATGGTTTCTTTTGTATCAGAAGTATTTTATTTTAGCTGACAGTTACAGGTGTGCGTACAATTAATATTTCAACATTCCGACTGTTTTCATGATCAGATGTAACAGACTATTTCTTTGGGTAAAATAAAGATTGACTGATCGACTACTTTTCTGAAAAGTATTAGTTTGAATCGGAATTCATTGTCAGTTACTCTCATGAATTCTATTGTGTTTGCTGATAAAACTTTCCATGTTTAATCAGACTTTCTTTTATGCACGAATAATATTTTGAATTCTCCGTATTATAGTCTTGTTTTTTCTGTGATGCAATTATTCTGTTCATTATTTTACAATTAATTGGTTTAAAAAGGTATATTCTTGTGAAACGTTAGGTTCAATATAGGTGTTCATTCAGTTTTTTCAATTATATTGTTTGCAAGGAATTACACCTTGTAGTTATGAGTTTATGGTTTTTACTTGAGTTATATTAACCAAATAATTTAAAGTAATCATTCAACATTGAACACATCTATAGATATTTATATCTAAAGCGTTAGTCAGATGTGTCCAAATGGTTTTAAGAAACGAATTTTTTACGTGATGAAAAAATATTGGATTGTTGAAATAGTATTGTTATTCTGTCTTAATTTTTGAGTAACCTTTTTATTAACTCGTTGTAGTTTAGACTGTGAGTCAATGACTTCTTCACTTTTAGATTTTAGAACTGGTTTTTTTTCGAGTAAAGACAGTACAATTTAGTTTGATTAAGTTAAGGACTCAAAAGTGTGCTATTAAATAGTGAACAATTATATTCACGTTCACTTCGTAGCTCTGTAACACCCAACCAAAGTTTACACTAAATCAGTTTGAACAGTCAACGCATGAAGAAGAGATTGTAATTTTTGTATTTCTAAGCAAATAGATCCATTATGACTACTTATAATAAAACTTCATTTATGGTCTTCTAAATTGCTGAGTCGTACCATCTAGAGAACCCCTATTGGAGAGTTTTAAGGAGCATAATTTTAAATGTTCGGGGGTTTGCCGAATGATCCACGTCAGATTTTTTTGTAATCTTTGTGGTAAATAATATTAATTCATGTTCATACAATATAGCGTCCATATCATTCTTCTTAAAGACCGATAAATGAATTGAGTGGAAATCGGAATATTATTTTAACTAGATATATATTTAAATTGTCAAACCAATTGATATGGATAAAAATAATGAACAAAATTGACGTCAAATGGATGAACACTAGAATAGATTGAAGTGGTAGTAATATTATATCAACACCAGAATTTAACCTATCTTTAATTGTATTAGAACTATAATTACACTGATACAAGAGTATTCTGAAATTGTATTATATCAACTGCATCTGAATTGAAATTAAACTAGGTACAGTATAGAAATCTGTTCAAAGTATCTCAAATGTTAAAAGAATAAAGTATAATAATGTACAGGCAGACAAAGATATACTAGTAAAATGTACAAGTAGAGACTTTGAAATAACAGTACAACGTGAAATAAAACAATGGAATTCAAATAATGTATTAAATTATCATATATGATCTCCTTATTTAGAAATCAGTATAGAGTTTCGTAAATTCGCCATGCTTTTATATTATTAACAACAATTACCTCATTTCCAGAAGGTTAAGAACCTCTACAACTAATCGGAAAATTGAGACCGATCAACATTTTAGCAGTTTCAATTCTCGAGCAGTAGAATTGTGGCAAAAGAAAATAAAGATAATATTACGTTCGAATTTTCATTTGCCACAGACAAATAGAAACCAATAAGTTTGAAAATCATTTTATGCATCATATGAGATTGGTTGATCAAAATGATGCAGTGTGACATTGTTCAGGATAAATTCAAATACTCGACCGTAATGAAATAAGCTGCGTCACTCAAAAAACAAAATTACACAAGTGAAATTAGAAAATAGACGGAGACTCAGATAAAATTATGAAGCATAAATAGGTTTAGAAGTTGGTCACTACGTGAGGCATGTCAAAGCAATTCGTGAGCTCCTAGATTATCAACCGAAAAATTATGTCAGGTGTCCTATAATGTAAAAAATACTGAATAAACATGGTCAAATTGGATAGTATATTAGGAAACGAGTGGCGATTATCAACGCCTATTAGGTGGTCGTCACTGTTCAATTTCTTACTCAGACTCGCGTGTATGTTTGATTACGTTACTGATAGAACTACGGGACCTGTGCATATTCTATAAAGTTTATAAAAACAATATATTCGTCACTGTGTGGCTGGCAAATTACCTTTATTCAGTAATGGCTAGGCTAACGGATCGATTCATTCAGCAAAGAATTGTATTTCACAGAAAAATCCAGGTCATCATGAGTAGAAAATGAGCTTTGGTTTGAATGAACTTAACACTTTCTGTCGTTTAAGCGATTAATCAGTGGGCGCATTGGGATAACTACGATAGGGAAACGATATGCTACGTCAAATTGAACGGATCTAAGACTATCATTTAGAATATGAAAGCACTGAACGGCGGTTTCTTCCTAATAGCGTAATCAGCAGTACGAATCTACTGACTCGCGCGCGGTTATCAAACCCAGGGATTTTGATCTCATGTGCAAACGCTTAAACTCTAGATTACTGAGTTGGGATCTAACTGTGTTATTCTCTAACTTTAATCAATCCGCCACCATCTAAATTTGCTCTGTACTTGATTTGAGTGAAATTCAACAATCTTCACTTCCCCTTAAAGACAATCTGCTGTGTAACTGGAATGCGTTTATTTCAGCAATAGCCTTTTGACTGGAAGTTAAAATATCATACCTGATGCATGAACCCTGAATATCTATTTCTTACCGTTAATGAATAATGTATTCATTGACCAAGAAATGACTAGTCAAATAAATTATTGCGCAAGTCCAGTTCCAAAGTCGACCAACCTAATGTACAACGGTCTCTCGAGAAATTCATCCAATTACTCAGTGAGTTCATTTTGCTGTGACATAGGTAAAAATACATATTTGACTAATTTCCAATCTGCAATATCTGATAATTCGCTTGTTGTTGCCTGTTAATATCAACACTAAACTCACTTGTTTTCCATCCATTACAGGTGTTTACTAAAAAATAATCTAGACTTCTAAACATCCACTCCTTGTTTCCGGATTTCATCCACCCTTGACTTTACAATATCCGCTAAACTAAGTGTCACACTACTTGTTATCTCATATCCTGTTTTATCATGTTTGCCTTCTGAATTCTCTTCATGTCTCTACTTCCTGTTTCATAGGTTTGTTTCTTTGTAACCTCAAATTTATTCGTTTGTTATGTTTTAATTGAGCTAATAGACTGAGAGAGAGATGCATCCCTAACGAAACATGTGCGTATAAACATTTTACGGTAAATAATTTATTTAATTTGAATACGTATCTTGATTGGATGAGATTCATTTGTGGTGTTAGAAATCGGAGATGATTTCATCTTGATGCTTCGTACTGAATCCGAAAACAAATACTATGTTGAACCAGGAGGGTTGTTATACTCACAGCACCTAAAAACTTTTATCGACTTGAACAGACTGTGAAGATTAATGTCATGTTTTAAGAGGCGGATTATTTGGCAAAAAAATGATCAATGACAATACTGTCTTTGAAGTTGTGAGAATATAATTGTATTGTCGTTCTTTTAGGTGTTCAGCAGAATGATAAATAATGGAGGATTACAAACTGAACGATACAAAATTGTACGACTTATATAATTGATATTGAATTGAAATAGAATTATTATTATTATTGTTTACATGAGAAAAATTATCTTCGTACAATGTTTGAAATGATGAATTACTTTCACTAGCTCATTAAAATTTACTCGGTTAGTTGATTAGTTGTGATCTAAAAGTTACAATATCAGGAAAAATGAATTCCATATATACATGTAGAAATACACCACAGAAATAATCATTCACTACAGAACTGCTGTTAAAAACAGAACAACGAAATTGTTAATAACAAAAAGAAATATATATGAAATTGATAAATCAAGGAAATATAAAGCTGACCTGTTGGCATTAAACATAACTGCAATTATCGAGGACAACATATTCGTTTCAAGCACATATTTCTCTTTTTTTTAAAACTTAAGAATAATTTGCATGTTCGTGTACTATTAATTTTGGTTGCTTCAAGTTTATTTGAAATAAAAACGTTCGTAACTTTTCATAGATCAGAATAAGCGTAATTTTCGGCTTCAACTCAAATTAAACTTAAACGAAGTTTAGTGTGGGAATATTAGATCATCTGTTTTTGATTGCTCTGATATTTTATTTTTACATGTTTTCTGAAATGGCGAATTAATGTAAGTTCTTCGTTTTTAGGTATCTTCAAATTCCATTTAAGATGATAACTGAAGGGAATTAAACGAATATATTTTCAATTTTACTTGGTTAATATGTTAACGTCGTTCTAACTTGTATCGATTGATGGTAATTATACTCGTTGTATTAAACTATACTAGCTTATAAGGATAAATCTGGTATTTTAATTAACTCAGTTATATTCACATTAGTCCTGACTAAATATGTTAACAAGTTTGATGGCATTTATTATCTTACACCATCCATTTTCAGAGATATGAGTGACAACGGATTGTAATACATCAGTTGCACGTCATTCATATAGGTCCTGTTGTAAATGAAGTGATTATATGCTGATTTATCAATTTCATATATATTTCTTTTTGTTATTAACAATTTCGTTGTTCTGTTTTTAACAGCAGTTCTGTAGTGAATGATTATTTCTGTGGTGTATTTCTACATGTATATATGGAATTCATTTTTCCTGATATTGTAACTTTTAGATCACAACTAATCAACTAACCGAGTAAATTTTAATGAGCTAGTGAAAGTAATTCATCATTTCAAACATTGTACGAAGATAATTTTTCTCATGTAAACAATAATAATAATAATTCTATTTCAATTCAATATCAATTATATAAGTCGTACAATTTTGTATCGTTCAGTTTGTAATCCTCCATTATTTATCATTCTGCTGAACACCTAAAAGAACGACAATACAATTATATTCTCACAACTTCAAAGACAGTATTGTCATTGATCATTTTTTTGCCAAATAATCCGCCTCTTAAAACATGACATTAATCTTCACAGTCTGTTCAAGTCGATAAAAGTTTTTAGGTGCTGTGAGTATAACAACCCTCCTGGTTCAACATAGTATTTGTTTTCGGATTCAGTACGAAGCATCAAGATGAAATCATCTCCGATTTCTAACACCACAAATGAATCTCATCCAATCAAGATACGTATTCAAATTAAATAAATTATTTACCGTAAAATGTTTATACGCACATGTTTCGTTAGGGATGCATCTCTCTCTCAGTCTATTAGCTCAATTAAAACATAACAAACGAATAAATTTGAGGTTACAAAGAAACAAACCTATGAAACAGGAAGTAGAGACATGAAGAGAATTCAGAAGGCAAACATGATAAAACAGGATATGAGATAACAAGTAGTGTGACACTTAGTTTAGCGGATATTGTAAAGTCAAGGGTGGATGAAATCCGGAAACAAGGAGTGGATGTTTAGAAGTCTAGATTATTTT